TCCCACAAGATCTTTCACCTTTGTAGTAGTCTGACTAAAATTATTGTACTTTTAATTCTTTGCTTTTTACTGGGATTTACTAAATGAAATGCTAATGGTAAATAAACATTAGTAATACTGTAATTAAATGCAAAAGTGGACACAGGAGTTCTTTTTAATTCCTTATTTACCTTAAACTGACTGTATGGTATCAATGTACTGTTGGCTATGGTTCAGTACGTGTAATTACCTGGTACAGTACTTCCATTATGATCAATTAAATGAAAACACTTTCTCTAATTAAAACAAAATTATTTATGAATATTCTCATTATGAATTACAGTATCTGTAGTAAATTATAATACTTTAAGCACTTATTATCCATAAAACTTATGAAATGATAGCAAATAAAAAATTTCAAGCATAAGTTATTGATTAAAATTTCTATTGTGAATTATATATATTGATACCAGAGTCACTAAGTCTACTATTTGTTATTCATGAAAAATGTCTAAAATGACATACACTACATACAGTGCTATAATTACAAGATCACTACGATACAATTTATAGTACAGTACAGTATTTCCAAAATATCCAAATATTGAGAGTAAAAGTTCACAAGTAAATCTCATCTACGTGGCAATGCTTGCGTATATTTACCAAAGAATCTAGCTTAATAGCATAACCAGTGACCATGAGCTATTCATTATCACTTGACAGCAATATGACAGAGCTACTAAAAATAGAATCAACAATCTACTCCATTTTAAGAATCAAACTTACATTGCGAGACAAATGTACATCCAAATAAATAATGTTAGTTTGATTTCTGAAGATGACATACATGTTACTGTCAATCCTTCCAAATTTACTACACCGGTAAGTTACCACAATTACCGTACTTTTAGTCATCCCAAAAAACTATACACGGAATGTTAAGAAGAAAAAATATTTACAAATCTCATATACATTTCAATTTTAATTATACTCGACACACCTTTCTCACATTCAAAGATGGGTGGCAACACCACAACAGTTGCACATCCCTCTATATTCACAAACCTTAAAACTCCATGAACACATTCTTTGTAGCAGAAGCTTCATTGAACACTATGCCTATTACTGTACACATCTCTACATACTGTAAATGTCAATTCTAAAACCTCTTGAACACATTCCCTCATCAAGCAGAGGATCAATCAGACATCATGACTGCAATTAGTTTTACAACCTCTTCAACACATTCCCCTGCTCTTTTCTTTTTAAGTTTATAAATAATGATTGCCATCCTACTGTCTACCTGTCCTAAACTTTTAAAAGAGAGAGAGAAATACTGATAATATTGACATCGATTTTCCAATAAGCCAATGAGAAATTATGATATCATTTGTCCATTTTTTTGAGATTCCTCTTTTCACTATACATGTGTGCCTCTAAATATTTAAACTTGTTTCTCATTAACATATCATCATTTACACACTGAATTCTATTACACTGTACCTAAATTTATGATCATCTTTCTCATTACTGTACCAATGGTATTGTATGTCCCCTAAGGTAAAACAAACCCATATCTGCTTCTCTTCTTACTTATCATTAACCTATAGCATGCAGCCAATGTACTGGATATGAACAATTAAGTAAGGGTTTGTGGCCAATGTATATAAATGATTAAGTAGATGTTTGTAGTCAGCGTCTATAAAACACCATAATTTTGCGATGGCGTTTTCAAAAGCTTGTGGGCTTAAACATGTGGGGTAAATTTGGCAGGAATCCAGTACTCAGCCTCCATTCACTAACTATACAACACAACTACACAGATATTACACTCTACACTGTAAGTAAGTAAACAATAAATAAATTAGTAAGACATTGGGATTTTTTGGGGTTAGTAATTTGTTAGAAATATGAACTGTACCAGAAATTTGGCATGATTGAGAAGATAAACGTGGCTGCATGCTAAGGGTTAATGTGATTATTTTAAAACATTTCAGGTTATAAACCTTTATGTACATTTCACACTCACACACAATAAAAATCATAATACAATTACTGTAGTTTTAAATTTAAACATTTATTACTATACCTGAATGGTATCTTATACCTACAACAGTTTTTTTATTTAAATTTGAAAATATAAGTTCTTTCACCCATTCACAATAGCAGAGGGCCACTTTTAAGGTTTTATTTGGCTAACACCAGACGATTATATTCAGCTCAGGGAGGACCCCATACACAAGCGATTAATGTGAAAATTTTAATGGTAACACAACCATTCCCTCTGAAAAGTTACACAACAATAACTGATCATCAAATATCTCACTACTGTAATTTGATCCTGTCCCATTTTCCCACAAATTATCTACAGTAGTATATCCTGAATCATCTTCCAACAAGCCATCTTTACTTCTCCACATTCAAGCAAGATATCAAGTTACAATCATTCCCCTGTATTAGAGTAACCATCCAACTCCATACCTACAACCATTTAAAGAAAGAACCTCACACTAGTATTAAAAAATATTCCCATTACCATTTGCTTTTGCTACAATAACAGAATAATGGGGGAAAGGAGAGCAGCTGAAGTACAAAATGAATTAAACATAAGTAACGAAAAAACCTATACTGGACATAATGTACAGTACTTCCTAAGGTGGCAGGAGAGTGCAACACATCACGTTTACAAATACTGTACACATCCAGTCTGACAGGAACGAACACACAAGGTCAAGTCCAATTACTGCACACACACACACTCTACAACAACACATTATGCAAGTCTAAGAAACTAAATATATGCACCAGGTTAAAATAATATATATAGGTTTCAATAACTTTCAATTAAATAGCACCCCTTAGACTTACCCAATGTACTAATACAGTACAGTACTGTACGTGCAATACAGTACCTTTACAGTGAAGTCTTGTATGTTTGTCCACTAATAAAGATGTTACAAACTACTGTACTGTATATATACTGTACCACTGTTACACATTGCAGTCAATGAATGCAAACTAATTATTAACTACTGTACTGTATCAATAATGTACAGGGGGTATATGGAAAAAAATGTAAACCAAGGTAATATTTTTATCCAGTGTACTATACTTAAATTATAAGTCACTCTTCACTGAACAACAACACACTATATAGCAATATAACAAGGCTGGTAGTTAACAACACACTATATATCATCTTCCTTATACAGTAGTAATTCACAGAGGGGGAAAAGGAGGACAGTTACTAATTAAATCACAGAGATGATAGATGCAATTGATAGGTGAACAAATTCCTTAAGAATACACTTGTGCTGCATTACTAACCTAAGCAAAATTTCCTCACACTGTAAAAAAAAAAAAGCTGATAATAAAGCTATCTAAGAAAAAACTTGTGCAGTCTTATTGTCAATCAAACTAAAATTCTTCACATTATTAAAACAAACTGGTGTACAGAGCATGAAATACAAAAATATATAGCACAGGGTCATTTATTTTATTCAAAAACCCCAAATGATTGTACTATATTTTAGGACATGCAATAAACAAGAACCAAAAAATCAGTTGAAATAACGTCTTATCATGGTAAAGAACATTTATTGTCCTTGCAATGATATGATCAGATTTTATTCCTGTCAATTTTTTAGGTTCCTGTTTACTGCACAAAGTAAAATATAGTAATCCTTTAGGGTTCTTGAAAAAAATATATGACCCTGTATAATCCCATGCTCCTGTTGCTACATTCAGTTCCAATACATGCAAACACACACCCACACACACTCCATGAAGTATCTTTACTTGTCTCAGAGTGCAAACAATCACGACTTTCTACCTCTATGTGCAGCTTCAGATACATTAATGGTAAAAGAAAAACAATTCACAATTTAGAAGAGTATAAATACTTGTAGATGGTTCTTTTAATAACAGGTCTCTGCCTTAGTTGTACCCAATACTAAATCAATAACTATGACTTGTGAGTTTTTTCAGATTAGGTTCTTGGTGTGCAAGAAAGCTGGGGGATAAAAATTTCCGAGTATTTTGGTTAAAATCAATGATGAAATCAACTTGCCTTTACCGCACTATCTTTAGGTGGTAAGCCCCAGGACCTTCCTCATGGAGCACATGTTTAAGCAGTGTACAGCAAGTTATTCCATGTATTTTCTGACCTGCCTATCCCATCTCAAATTTGCCACTTGACAAGCAAAAATGCCTAAACTAGTTCCAGTTCAAATGAAATGCACAGGCCTGAATGTTCATATGTAACTATAACTTTACCTTAATAATCATGAACTACTGTATCAAATGAATATGTACTACTGTACTTAAGTCACCCTATCCCAGTCTATTTATCCCTGTCTAAATAATTTTCCTTAACCCTTTTGCTGCATTTCCCGTACTTTCAATTTTATTCTGGCCACCGCCAGACGAGTTTATACAGCTTAGTGTAGCCTCCTGCAGCCAAAGGGTCAATTCAAAAACTTTAAGCAAATGGAATGCTGTGTATATATATATATATATATATATATATATATATATATATATATATATATATATATATATATAAATATAATGACCTGCTCAATATAAAACAGTGACAAAAATAAGACAAGTGTAAACCTTAAATTAAATAATAGCATTTTCTTAGGCTTATTCATGTCTTTGTTGGGAATGTTGATGAGGTGTGGGATTATGTTTTTATTAAATATTAATAATAAAAATATGAAATTCTTCTTCAAAAAATCTCGTACGCTGAAATTTTTTCCTGTACAGAGTAAACTGTTTCTAAAAATGCACAGAAAGCAGAGTGTAATTATTTTCTAATATGAAAATTTTCCTTTACAAAAATAGACCCTCTACTAAGTACTAGCTCTTGGAAATGGACTCAAACTAATGACAATTACTGTGTCATCCGATATCTGCCGTCTCACAAGTCTCTCTACTCAATAAAATCTACCTCTCCTTCAACAACTGTTACTCATTATGTAAATGCAAGTGTCATTAAGAAATAAATATAGTGAGAGTGATCATGTAAAATAAATATATTCATACATACCATAAATTAGAGTTACATGTTAAATATCAGAAACTTCGTCTTTGTTCCATTATAAATAAATCTAATGGAACATTCCTGTGGCAAAAATTCTATACTCTCAATTATATGATCTTCTGACTAAATATACTCAGTCTGTTAATCTCCAATAAGCCATTTCTCACTTTTCAAGCCAGGCAATTCTAGGTACAGTATTGCTATTGCTTCACATCCTGTCTCTAGAGATCCATTTACAGTGTTAAAAAATGAGCTCAAAGTTTCAGCAAATTGGTTTACAGCAGTAGTAAGTGTTAGCAATGAATTTCATAACAAGTACTGGATTACAAGCATATTCAATTTACAGGTACAGTATATAATAACACTGCCCTAGGTGTGTTACAGAGGGAAGAATCTGATTTCAAATTTACTATCTCAGGCAAATCAAAGGAAAATTCCCCTAAAATAATCATTAAACTAATAAACAAAAGCACACAGGGCAATTTACAGAAAAATGGCCACATGATCTTAAAAAGAGGGACAAGAATACTCATCTTTAAGCTCGTCCATGAAATTGATTAGATGAAGCCACATTGTGAAGTTGAGGAGACTACATTAAATCCTTCAAGAGATATCTTGATTACAAGCTAATGGACAGACAGGCATACAATCAGATAGAAGGTCGGTATGGGGCGATAACAACACCCATCAACCCATTTTCAGGCTGAGGGGAAAGAACTTGGTTATGGTAAAATTAACTGAACCTTTTTAGAAAGGAACACAATGGTGGTTGCATCTTTGTTCTGAATTGAAAAGAAATTCATTTTTGAGTTACGATTCCACATTTTTTTGTTCATTAGGTTAATGTAAATTACAGTAAATGTGAAATACCGACCCTTCCATCTATAATTTGAACTCTGCTAAAATTATGTGTTACATGCTAGTGTTCAAAACAGACGTCTAGTGTAAGAGGACTGAGGTATGATCAACAAGGCAGAAATATGGTGAATGAGCAATTCCAGAGCTGTGACTCACAGATCATAACAAAACTTCTAAACACTGTACACCTCATTGAACTAGTTAACTAGTCATACTTCTCATCTACTGCTTATGATGGAGTCATCCTTGCTCATTTTTATGCAACATTCTGTATACTCAGGTATAAGCATCAGTTTCTATACACTCTGTCAATGACCTTTAAGATAATAAAAATGCAAAGGGTAAAAAATGTTTCTGAAAAATCTATAAATTAACCCCATTATAGGCATATCATACTTCCAGTACCTGTATATTATATTCAATAATTTTTCTTTCTTAGTAAATGTAGTGAAAAAAAAAGATACACCAAACTTTTTACTCTGGTTCCTTGGCTAACTCCCGGATCAACTTTATCTGTCCTTGAGCAATTTGTAGCGCTTTGTGGCTCGCCCACAGAACAGACCACCAACGAAAATAATTCCAACAGTAGTGATCATTACCAAGAGGAAGTAGTTCCTCTCCGGGGAATTGGATACGTGTCCCACCAGGTCCCCAATGGATCTAACATTTGTCAGCTGGAAAAAAATAAAAGAAAGAAGATGCCAACTGTATCTATACTTGTATATGTCCAATTAGTTTAGAAAAAGAAAACCTGAAAACTAACATGTAATATATGTACAAAGTTCATTTACTTAATTTCCTAAAACAAAAATAGTACATAAAATTAATAAAAAAATTTATCTCTGATTTACCTTTAATTTCAATACTAGTCAATTGAAAAGAATGTTTTATACCCAAACTAAATTTTCATTCACTGATTCCCATTTTGCATTATTTTTTTAATTGGTGATACTCAACTGAACACCTATGTATGTAGGTAATGACAAAAGAAATTAAACATTCGGCTAAAGGGAATCATGTTGTCTAAATCCTGGAAAAACCTCACATCTCCAGTATATATCACAACAACTTGACCAAACTATCTCAAACTTCTCTTTGGTCATGACTAACACAAACAAAAGATTCTCACCTTCAAAGCGGCATTGAACATCTCTCGACGCTCTCTAAGCTTCTCCCGGCATTCAGTTTTCAGGCCATTTGGATTTCGTTCCAAGACGTCCAACAGGCACGCTAAGTCTGGTGATACACAGCACTTAGTACAGTAGTATTGTCTTATGATGATACTTCAAAATCTGATACTACAGTTACAAATAGCCTCAATAACTGACAAATGAAATCAATGATATTCTCAAAGGTGACACTTTCTATCACCATATATGCCATCTTTTAAATAAAACTTAAAAATAAAGTAATTAAATTAAAAATGCTTAGGTTGAGTAATAATTACATATAAAAATCAGGTTATCAAACTTAGGTCTACAAGTTGGTGATACACTATGTGAGAATTTGCACAATATGGGAACTACAGTACTGTACTGTTAAGTAAGTTTCAATTGATGAAAATACACATCTCAGGTCATCATACTTAAGTGCAATTTGGAAATTGCTCAACATCTTACTTGATGTATGGCACTGATGCTGTTTTATTTGCATCACAAGTAAGAGGCATTTTCCCCGAGACATAATCTGTCCAACATGGTGGCAGTACCTCTTACTACTAAATGTAAACCAGATACATGAAATGGCATATAATTTTGTTTTACTTAACTATAAATGGCTCCTACAGCCAGGAAAACAATTTAGAGATAATGTTCTTTAATTTGGACTAATGGAAATATATTATCATATAAGTACTGTAATAAGGTTAAATACCAAGCTATCATACAGTTGTTTCAACACCTGCCACCCAGGCCTCACCTTAAGGGTAACAAATCTGCCTTAAGGACGACCTAGGCACCTCTGGGTTTACTGTACAAAAGGAATGAATAGCCGGAGCCGTGCTATAAGGTGTAACTTGTAAAGAATGGGTGCACAAAAGATGCACAGACTCTTTAACAAAAGAGGATCATGACAGCCTGTCATCTAATGGCCCAATTCCCAACTTTGTGTGTTAGATATGCTTAAATGCTCAACAGTCGATATCACTAGTACCATTAAACATAACAACAGATTGTGAGTTTGACAATTTTGAGTGTTTCAATCGTATGTATCTTGTGCACATTAACTAAAGGTCATTGCTGCCAAACAAAGCTAAAACAAAGAAATACATAACTGAAGAAGCTACAACAAGAGAAGAGAGTGAGTTTCTATATTATTGAACCACAAAATGAAGTATCTGTACTGGACTGCAATAATGATCCGCCAACCTTAAAGAGTCCAAGCGCAATGTAATGCTTGTTAAATTCAATCAAATAAACTTTCACTAATACTCTTGAAACCATACTGATTAAACACCAACCATAAACCTAAGCAAAGGACCCTCCTGGAAATAAGCAACTGACAGCTTTGTCAGCTATCCTTGGTCAAGTTGCCTTACTGTTTGCCATTGCTGTTTACCTGCACTGTCTCGGCACACAGAAAACTGTATACTGTACTGTACTCCCGTGGCCTACATGCACTGTAGGTAACTGTCTATATTCATGCTGAACTGTACAACTGCATAGTTTATAAACGTACTTATCCACAATTGTAAACCTGTATGGCAATTTTACTGAATAAATATTATTATTATTATTATTATCATGGTCAGACAGACTCTATCCTAAAACACAAACTTATCTCTGTCTCCATGATTTCTAGGGTATTGGGTTAAAAATCAACTTAAAAACTTGGTACACAAGTTTTATTTACTTGGTAAGGATGTAAAATATATAAATCCTTGTCGTTTCTTAGCACGAGAGAAATAAATCTACAGCAATGATGAAAAATAAAAATAAAGAGGGAAGCACTGCAGCTCAAATGTAAAATTTAACTGCTGTACAGTATTATGAATTCCATTACAGATATAAGAAAAAGAAAAGTTCAAAACTAAGTTATTACTTACGATGACCATTCTCAATGTCATCACAATATTTGTTGTCATCAATGCCACAAGCTTCATTAAGAACTGGATCCACATGGATGTCTGCTCGCTGAGTTTCGATGATGTGTGCAACATGAAGTCTACACTCGTCTGACTTGATTTTGTTGTGATCAAAACTGAGTTTCAAGCACTCCAGCATGTGACCCCCACTATCATCAGTCAGAAATTCTCGACACAATACACTCATCTGGAGGAAAATAAGTAATTGTTGTATCATGTTTACTTTTATCACCAAAACACCCTAACCCAGGATATTCACCTGGAGAAGATCGAGGTTTGTTTTATGAAGTTTTCTGTATCAGTAAACAGAACATCTGAATGCTGTAGGCATCTGTTGGCATTTGTTTATAAAACAAAAGAAAAATATCTATACTGTACTATATTTAGGTTATGATATTTATCTATATTTCATCTAGTGACTTATTATATTGTTCTATCATCTATACGAATTAATGAAATATGTACTGTACTGCAATATAAAAGAGATAAATGCATCAATTCTGTAAGCAACACTAAATGTACAAATAATGTTAAGCTGAAGCACCTTTAACATTATCAAAATGAAAAAAGTAATATAATTCTTTCAAGTCACTACCTCAATCAGAATCTTCTTAAAAAATATTCAGTGGTCTGCCTGGGCTCTACAATGGGAGACCTGCAGCCAATATCTAAGACACTGACTGAAAATTTCCATGTGTAGGCTTGTCATGCAACTGCGTTAGAGAAGCACTTAACAGAAATACGTGACCTGTATTGTATTCAGAATGTCATTTGTCTTTTGTGATGATGGTGGTTGACGTAAGACTTTATAAGTACAGTACAGTAGTATACAGTACTTAATAATAACCATTAATATATGAAGTCACAATTATAAAAATTAATATTCAATCCCTTAAATTCTTACATCAGTTTTACACTTGTCAAGCAGGATGGGGTCCATCTTGTAGTTGAGTGCAGCAGTGCGAGCCACACTTAATATTTGAATCTTGCACGTAGAACTCAACTTGCGGCCAGGGAGTTGTTCCTGTAATGTAACCATCCTATTTAGGTGAAGAAATGATGTTTAATTAGGGTAACTGTTACTTACTGTAACAGATGTAACAACACAATAAAATGATTGACTTAACTGGCAAACTTAAATGATCAGTGTGCATGAGAGCAATTTTCTTCTACAATGATGTCATCCTGGCTTTACTATAGCTTCTGAAGTCAAGCACAAGCTCAACACAACTACTGTTAGGGAAAACAATTAACTACCTGTGATGAAAGTCCCTGCTAATTACACTTCTCTGGTATTTATAATATATTAATAAATGTCTGAGTGTTGCCCGATAAAGGAGGTAAAGAACAACAACACTCTATGACAAGTAATCTATGGATCTTCATCTTGGTTCTCTCCTCTTCCTCCTATCATCTACCCCAGAATTATAGCTAACTCTTTTTATCATTCTTTCACTTCTAATTCTCTCAATGCGTTCATAGCACCTTAGAACACCCCGGTTAACTCTCTCTCTCTGTCATTTCTTTCATTTCAATATCTAAATCTAATTTTTTATTATATCTCTGACATGTTAATTCAATACTTTTGGAAATCCTTTATTAATAACTATCTTTGTTCTTCTACAACACCAATATTTTCCATTACTATAGACCCCTTGTCAATACCTCAGGAGGATCCTCTATATAAAGCTTTACAAAAAAAATTGGATAAGATGTTTAGGAGGAGCAGTAAATAAGTAAGGGTTTATGGCTACCAAATGTATGCAGTATGACGGTCAATCTGCCATCACATGATTTTTCACCAGCAGAACTAACTACAAGCTAGTCTTCTCCATTAAAACATCAGGCTAACCCATATGGAATGCCCCAAATCTGTCAGGTTCATAACAAGGTCCAATTTAATACCAATCCTCTAGTATAGCTGTTTAAATCCTGACATTAAATATATATATTTTTAATGGACCCTCTCTCTCAACAAAGCTTTAAGTTTTCATATATCATCAAAATACTACCTAAAGGTTTACATATACTGTACTGTACAAGATCCCTAAACTCACCTTCAAACACTCAGTAAGCAAGCCATTTAGTTCAGTGCTGGAAGTTTTCTCCCTTTCAAAGAGTGAAAAACAAAACTTAGCCATGTCACGCCTACAAGCTCGAAGGAGGTCTGGGTTGAGGCGAGCGTCTGTAGTCTGTTCCACCATCCGACGTATGACTATAGTCCGACAATGTCCATCAAAGTTTGGCTCCTCTTTATTGGCCTACAAAATGACACATGTTGCATTTTCTGAGAAGCAACATTGATTCTCAAAACTTTGTTGAAGAATTCTGTAAGCTAACTTATTAACTTGAATTATCAGTATAAAAAGGCTTCTCTTGAAATTACAATATTGCAGCTCATGGAGAACCATCCAAAGACAAAATAAAAATGGGTCATTATTGTTTAAAAAAATTCATTACTTTCTATTCATTTCCTTATTTACATATAGTATACCTGAAACATCCATATACATGCTGAACCAATGTTATTAAATATTCATCTACATAATTATGTCTACCTACCCATAAATCTAGGGAAAGTCCTCTTCTAATATCCATCACATTGACTAATGGTAAGTCCATGCTATTCTCTTCACACATAAAAGTTCTTTGTAAAACTTGATTACATCATATAAGGATACATTATACTCTTAAACAGCCTTGAACAGGTTTTTACTATTAATCATCAATATACCTTGAGACAGTAAAGGAGTTTCTCAGGGTTTACATCATGGCAATACTGTGTTATCATTTGCTTGCATGACGTCACCAACACCACATCTGTGCTGGGGTCCTGCTGCTCCTCTTGTTCACGGGCAAACAGCAACTCATGACAAGGTTTCTCTAGCTCTCTTTTGTGACTGCGCAGACACTCGAGGATCTGAAATCATGTTTAAATTAATTGAAAAAAATAACAGCTGAAAATACTGCAATTATACGTATGATCCAAAGACTTATTATTATATAATTCATCAGTATGTTCTGTATATAACAGTATATGCGACCTTTACATAATGAAACAATGATATAGGCATATTTTGTTAATTACTACAGTATTAAATGCATCTATCTATCTCCATTTTCAGATATTTGGATACGATGAAACATGTGTCTTGCCCGATGTGAGAAATAACTCTCAATTCTATCAATCCAACTGTACCTTACTCCACTCCCAACTCAATGGGATAGATTGATGCTGCAAACCTTTCAAGATATTCGCTCATTCTTCTGCCTGAATCACAAGAATATTCTTTCCCCAGTGTGGAGTCTTCTGTAACTCACCAGGCCCGCTACATTCACATAATCATCCCTCTCAGCCATGCAATATTGTACATCAGGAGTCTGTTTTTTCTTTACCAATTACATGTATTAATGGCATCAGTGATATAGTTGAGATCAGTAAGTCCAAGACAGAGACTCACATCACTGACTGGTATCGTACTCAATCTCAAGTTCATTCATCTGAAAATTTTGTAGTGCTATCTAATCACTCAAGGGCTTTGGTAATAAGTAACAAACACAATTCTTTAAAGAGGCTTACCACTCCTCGGCCGTAAGTGACGTCCTTACAGAATTTATTTATGTCTTCCCTACACTTCTGCTGCAACCTGGGATCCAATTTTGCATTCTCGTGACGCTGTACCAGTTGCTGCCGAAGCTGCTGACGGCAGAGCTTTGTCACTTGGTGGTCATTGTCGTTAATGATATCATTCCGAACTAATGTGCTGAGGCAATCTATTACATCAGCTCTGCAATGAATATGTGTAAAAAAAAAAAATAAGAAAATTACTCCCAACGTTTATTATATGCATCTGAATATTAATCATGCTCATGAACTTTTAGTCAGCACTACAGGGTCTTAGAGAGACATAAAGCTTTCTGTCTATCTTTCATATTTACTAATTTATCTTTGTATCTATCCTACCAATGAGTTTTTTATTTACAGCTTTTTCCTACATTTGGAACAAGTTTGGCACAAAAATTTCCTCAAGGAAACAGAAGTTATTTCTTTTTATTAAGTTTATGTAACAAATTCAAATGCTGTAAACTTTCAAGGTCTTGGTTTGTCGGCAGAAAACTATAGGAAATACCAATGTGACAGCACAATTAAATCTAAAACAAACTACCTGTATAAAAAAATTACATGTACATCAATTAACTTTTTTTTTATCACTTTTGTGTACAATGAATCAATAAGGCACAGAAACCTTGAAGTCTGAGTAAATAATCTTGAAGTCTGGTGTTGAAACAGGTAAAAAAAATCATCAGTAAAGGGTCAAAACAACAAGTAAGTTGAATCTTAACATTAAATAAAATGACTTGTTAATCAAATAATAAATGTAGCTCATACAACAAGTAGGTCACCAGGCCCTGGGAAGAGCTCAGTCAATGAAGGGAAAGAATTATGTGTGGCTGGACGAGGGTAACAATACCACCCCACCATAGTAGGAACCACCAATTATTTCTTAAGTGTACTGTAGCTTTGGGCAACAATAAGGTATAAAAAATAATACAAATCTATGGTCCTGACAGCCCTAATTGTGGACTTTCAGGTAATGGCAGGACTGACTGGTCTCCAATTAAAGAAGCTATACATTAGACATTATCAACAGTGATTTAGATACTTCTACTGCAAAAATTTCTGACCTTGCTTACTCAATTTGGGAAAGTAATACACATTTACAATTGGTGTTACTGACATATTCTGATCCACTTTGCCCTCTAAATCTAAGTTGTTCATGAAGTTTCTCTTGAATTGATCTGAAAAATCTACAAATCTTGAAAACTTAGTTCAAGGACAGAAAAATTACATCAAAACAAAAGGTATTACTGTAGTATCTAAAATCCCCCATTCATTATGATAATTTTCAAATGAGTTCCCTTACCACAGATCTTCTTGCAAAAAAGTATGAGATATTTTTCCAACACTAATCTTTTTAACCAAACTGAGGGTAATGATGGTATAGTAGTTGTCTCATAAATAATTGAAATCCTACACAGTAAACTCACTTGTTCTTGGGTTTTGGTCGACACAACGAGGCAACATCTCCCTGGCACGACTCTTTGAATCGGGGTGAGAATGTGTAGTCCTTCATGGATATTAGCTGAAAAAAATGTAGACAACACATTACCATTTTGCTACTTTTTATGAGCCCTTTCCCATTACAGGCACATGGTGGCTGGAATGAAGAGCAGCATACACTCTCCCTCATTTTTACACCATTTACTAAGTATGTAATGTACTGCAGTTATTAATTTTACAAACAAGGTGTCCAGTCACATGAACAACAAATTTAAATTCCAATAATATATGAGACAAATTTTAAAATGAAGCTAATGAACCAGTAAAATAATAATATTTAACTGACGAAAAAATTTAATAAATTACATCAGTTACCAAATGAGAAAAACAGAGGGCAAAGTGACATCATGCATCCATTTCAACTGAGACTTTGAGCTTTATGAACGATAAGTTATGTATTAAGGTGTAAGTGAAGATGATAAGGACAACAATAAGAACAGACATTGATCCCAAGGTGCTTCTCCAAACATGTAGCACAAAAGATCACAACTCATGGAAATGTCAAATTGCCCCACCATTTCTCTCATCTTGTCTTGTGATTGGCCAGTTAGGAAACAAATAATTTATGAAGTGCTGTAGATTGACTAAAATTTGCTTTCACAGAGGATACGGTACAGTACCACCACATTATTGAAACACAAAATCATAGCAATGTCATATTGGTGGGTGGGGCCGAGTCTGACATTTCCATAATGAACAGACTACAGTATATAGTTAGTCAGTGACCCTCACCTGAAAATGTTCAATAACAGCCCGACATTTTGGGTAGTGCTTCATCTTTTCTGCATGTTTGTGACGAATAAGGCAGTCCATCAAGGCTCCATCTTCACTTCCAGGTTGTGCTTCTCCTTTACACATCTGATAAAGGAAAATCAAAATGAAAACTCCTTAACTTTCTCTTTAAATGTCTTAAACATAAAATTATGAATACAAATTTTCTTTGATTTTCATGTTTTATGCTTCTTTTCCTATATAGGGAGGTGATAACCTTCCCACTAATGGGTTAAAGAAGTATGATTGTTACTTTGGGTACAACTAAAGGTGATGTTTGCCTTTACCAAAATATCTAAGTCAAACCAGGACCCAAATTCTGGTTAAGAAAGTTAAAAATGCTGATTATTAAACTGTCAAGATATATTTTATTTATAGTTACATTGAAATTTCTTTCTGATCTGCAAAACCTTTCAAAATTTTGTGAACAAAAATTAATTTCTAATGACTGAGATACAAAAATACTACTACAGTATGCACCCTCACATATTGTTGGGAGTATAGAAGTTAAATGCGTGTAAGCAGAGCCTACCTCTGGTATGGCGGCTGCACACTGAACTGTAAGCTGTGAATTGAGTCTGGTATCCTTTGCTTCAGCCTCTGTGTAATTGCCAACTGCATTCTTACAATCCTCCCTTGTTATCCTTTTAAGTAACAGATGAAAGTAAAAAATATTATACACAAATAGACGAAGAACATTGCAGTTTCTTTTTTCTCATTCAAGCCTCTTCCCACTCCACCACAGGGTGGCTGGAGTCATGAGTCACACAAACCATCTCTGATTCATTCATTCATCTTAGTTGACATACAAATGTTTTCTACTTAAGTATTCTTCCTCCATAACAAGGCACAAAAACTTTAATCAGGTTTACAATTAAACTCTATTTCATATTGTGAATGATGAAGAATAAGTCACTCTCTCTTGTAATTCATTGTCTGCTCTGGTACAAGGCTGTTGGAACCAAGAGTGATACATAGAGTATTCTCCCTCACTCACTCACTCATTCTTTCTAATTATCATATCAGATCAGTAGCTAAAGATAAATAGATCAATAAAACATGTACAGTAAACTATCCTTACTGCTCAAGGTTATCTTGAAGACAAGCAATTTCCTCTCCTGGTCCAGTATGTTCAGAGCAGAAGTGGGCAAGTTGCTCCATACACACCATTTCTATCTCAGGGTGCAGGTCCACATAGGCTGCTCGCTCATGCATCACGCGTTGAACCTCTTGCATACAGTTACTACTCAACTATAGAGAGAACAGCTACTGTAAAACTGTAATATAGTAAAAATACTAACAAAAAATTTTCAACATGAAGTCTACAATATGCCATGGTTGTTAAAATCATATTTAGTGGACCTTCGCTATAATGTGAGAATGGGACCATGAATTAACATGAAATAGTAATTTGATATGTCATATGTATTTCAATAGGAAGTATAGGGTCAGAAAACTGCAGCCAAAAATGTAAAAAAGAATTCCATTAATATACCACTTTTTCTCTCTCCAATACTAATTCTATCATTTCAAAACACTTTTCATTGAGGGCCAGCTGTATTTACATAGAAAGTGTGTTGGAGATCAAATTATTTCAGAGAAGAATTTTTACACCAATGGCAAAGACAAAATTTTGTTAGACAAGAACATTTAACCTGCATTGAAGATAATTTTCCTTCAGACAGAAAAGAGAAATGTTCACAATATTCTTCCTTAACTTAGTTGATGATTTATGAACTTTTAACTTTCAAAATGAACTACTAATTTCAAACAGACCGCTTATAATTTTATCTTACCGTAATTAGTTCCATAAAGTGATAAAGATAAATTTCATGACTGAGGCAATCATTCAGATGATGATATGTTACAACTCAGCAAGTTAATATTCCAACTAGAAAATCCTAAATCATCTCCATCAATGACCAAACTTAGCTGACTTTATGAAATTGTTTCTATGTTAGTCAACAGAAAGTGAAGGTATGTGAGCCTTTATATACAGTAACATCTTCCTAGAAACTATAATGTGTAGTCAACCAACAAGTTCTGTTCAAGGTACCAGATGACAAAACGCTTTTAAGGATGTTAACAACAGTACTAATGACTAATTGATAACTCGTTATTTCCAGCAATGGCTCTAAGTGTATAATAAGAACAGACCTGCAGATTATTCAGGATATCTTACCCTTAAGTGAGGCTTTGGATGGTAAACATAACGAAACAGGCATGGGAGAACTTGAACACCTCTTTGGACGTTGGTATTTTGTGTACTAGCAGCCCAGTCTTTTTTGGCATTGCACAACTTTATGGCATCATTCACACAAGCCATGTGAAGCTGAGGGTCTAATTTCCAGTCTCGAGACACAAAGTACTGTATCTCCAGGAGAGCGGCTTCACATGCTTGGGGCATTTCTGAGGAGTCTATGTGGCGCATAAGACATCGCATCACTCTGTGAATAATCCAATTATACAAATAAAATGACAATGGCATAAATATGTAATTGTATATGATAAAATCTTTTTGTCAATTTAAGAATCTACAAGTAAAAGATAATAAGGATACGATGGTAATATTACAAAAGAGCTAAATATAAAACAAACGAAAATAAAATAAAATTAAGTATCTTCAAACACCAATTTTTATCACAAACAACTTACAAGATCAAAACACAGTAGATCAAAATCCCTTCATCACATACCTTGCATTTCCCCCTCTCACATCCTTGCATGTGGACTCTACCATGGGGAGACAAGCCTCATGCAGCACGGGGTCCACTCGCCAGTCCTCACCAGCGTCTGATGCCTTTATCACGGCCTCCAACTGAGCAATGAATACAGTACGTACAAGTAAGAAATATTATTTTACGAGGTGTCTAACACTATAACAAGGGGCACATTTTCAGTTAGATGTCAGGTATGTTGTTCTGCCAGAATTTATGTGGTGATTTAAGCTGTGCTCATCATTTACACCAACGGCAGATAACCCTATGAAACTGCAGTAACAATAGATCTATGATTTGGTTCCTACCTCATTCCTACATTCAACTGAGACCTGACTGCGAGAGTTGCGACTGCGGATATGTTTCATGAGACAGTGGAGTGTGCGACCGCCAGTCTCAATGCCATCGTTGCAAAACTTTGTAATTTCAACCTTGCATTGTGACATCAGCTCTGGAGAGAGCTTGAAATCTTCCATCAATTGTTGACGGTGTGCAAGCATTTCATCCTTACAGGCTCCATCAATTGTTACACCTGTGTACACAGTGTGAAAACATTTAAAATAAGACAGGAAATAAATTTGTGTAGAATAAAGACATTAAGAAGGTTGAATAACATTAAGGACCATGAAATAAAATAAAGCCAATAAGAAGTGAAGGGCTATGTGGATATGGGAAGATCTTCAAGACAGATCATATGTTTATGGCAAACCCAACTCATTTTAAGAAGTTGACAGCTGGAGTCCCTTGTATCTCAACACCAACTACCAGTACTGTATACTGTATATAAAATGAGTCATAACTTTCCAAAATCTGGAGGGAAAAACAGATTGTTCAACAAGTCCAAGATCTTGCTGTGTTACATCTGAATGGCAAGTTTCATCAATATCCAATTCATGTTCTTTCCTAGTTACTTTCTAGGTTTGCCCTGGACTGCTCTCTTGACTATCATTTAAGGTTTCTGTACCCTTGGTCCACCCTACACAAAAGTGAGGAAGAAGTAAAACTTAATCACATATAGATACTTATAAATCAACGCTTTCAAACATAACAAACTCCCCAGGATTAATGAATTACCTTTTTGAAGAGCTTCTTCAAGACACAGTAATATCTTGGAAAGCTTTACTTCAACAATACTATCTGAGGTTCCCTTTCGACAAGAATTCTCAGTAATAGCACTCCGGCAGGCTCTGACAATTCCACGATTCACTCGATAGTCCTGCACTGTTAGCTGCTGTCGTCGTGATATCTGATCAACACACTGAAAAAAATTACTGGTTAGAATTCTGACAAGCTTCATAAATAATTAATACTTAAACTGACAGGAAAAAACATTAATTCCTGGTTCTCTCTCTCTGATAGGTCATTCCAATGGTTCACAGATATCAACTGAATCTGACATCAAGTGGAATTCAGCATAATTATTGTTCTCAGGAACTGCAATAATCCTTTAATTTTTTCAGGCTAGGTCACCTTGTTTCCAAGACATGGTCTGCTAAGGTTTTGACCTCAGGCAATATTGTGCAAAGTTTGGAAGTTATATCTCAGATACAGAACAGTGCGCCTTGCACTGTTAGCCCTACAGCATCTGTTTTGTTGTCAATATGCTCACCACTTTGGAGACAAGTTTTTATTGTGAGACATAGTTTAAAAACAAAATAAGAACGTTGTCTTATTGGTGACCTCTAACTTTGACCAAGCAGCAAATCTAATGGTTACAAAAGTCAGTACAGTACCTGGTATGTTGCAAGGTCATCATACAAAGCATACTGAAATAAAACTGGGATCTACATGGATTAGGATAGAGAGCCCTTACAAAGTGGAGAGGACCAATGATTTATCATACTTTTCCACCCCTGTGAGGTGCAGTACTGTACCAATATGGGATGAAGCAATCCAAGGGTGTAACTAGCATTTTTTCTGTTGCAAAAAAAAAAATAATAATAATAAATAAAGAATTCCTCCAAAGGAAACTAGAGAGGAAAGAATTAAAGTGTGAAACAACAGGCAGAGAAGCAAATAGATACATGGAGCCTTGTTGTGGGAAGGAAGCATCATAATAAAACACATCTACTACAGCAGAATTAAGAATGAATGATAGAAAATAAAGGAATACTCAGTGTGTATTTACTTTTGTTTCTAGACAACCTATATTACAGCAGGGGAAAGATAAAAAAAAGTACTGTAATAATAATAATAATAATAATATTTTGTTTTACTGTATTTAAGTTTTTTGTAATACAGCATTTATAAGCAGTTATACAATTTTGTTGACAGCCAACATTTATTTAGTTACAAAAAAAAAAAAAAAATTCCTACACATGGAAGGGAAACTAGGACCCCCCATGATGGCAAATAAAACAAGATTTAAAAAAATTGTATGTGATTTATATAAAGGTTTTGTACAATGAACCACTTTCCATCCTACACCATACTGTAAAGAAAAACTGTGACAACAATACCTCCTTGCTCATGCCTCGCTCTGTCTTGTGTTTCATAAGGCACTTGTAAACACGTCCCTCTCCAGATCGTATGTTTCCACAGAACTTTTCACGATCTTCCCGGCAAGCAAAGAATAGTGCACGGTCAAGGTGGAAGTCATCTGACTGAAGCTCTGATAATCTGTAAAATAATAATTAACTTACAGGAAAAAAAATTCTTGTCTGGGAAACACAAAACACTGATTAATTCTCCGGGAATCTATGGAAGCCATGACACAAGATGATGCAGACACTAATAAATATTTAGGCAACAATTGTAATTACACCCATTATGAATACCTCTATGAAATAAACTTGGTACTAAATTTAAAAAAAATTAATACAAATAAAATTATCTAGCTGTAGAATTATTTTGTTCTATAATTAACATCTAATATTAAATAATCCCTTAAATAAATATTTTTTTATTATATACTGTACTGTACTTATACCAAATTTATTTGTTTTAAACATTCAATCCCAAAATGAATTTTATTTTGTTTGGTTTAAAAGCAATGTGGATAAAATTACAAAACAAATTTAACATAACCAAAAAATTACTAATGGTCTCAAAATCCAAGCAAAAACCCTAAATCTATGAACCACCAATACTGTACAGTAATTTAAAATTCAGGCAAACCCATTACAAGATTAAGGATTGTATAGTACTGTACAAATTCACCTAATATTAATAACCTACAATTCCAATGGATAATTCAGCAAATTTCACTGTCCAGTGAGTGTCAGGGTTGTGAGAATAAGTTCTACCTCCAAACATTATTATTCTCGACTTCATCATCAACAATTAGGAAATTTTTCCACACTTGCGTAGGTTAGCCACAATCAGCTCTCCATGCTGCACAGTCTCTTGCAATCGCTTTTGTAAGGTATTCAACTCTAATGTCATTTATTACAACCTTTCCCCATGTCTTGGCCTGCCTCTGGCTCTCCTCCACCAACCACATTTAGACTCATACACCTCGAGACCCAACTGATCCCATCCATTCTCTCCACATGCCCAAACCATATCAGCCTTCCTCATGAGAAACTTTACCAATACAGTACGGTACTCTCAGTACTCACCTGCCCTCTTAGTTAGGAACAGGGACCCTTGTTTTATGGTAGTAATACAGTATACGTACAGTAGTCATTTGATTAGTCTTCATACTCATGGTTATACCTGTATTACTTATTTGCACAATGATCTTATACCTCAAACAAATATTAAATTCTATGCACCTAAGAATTTGCTTGTGACATGAAGAATCAAGATTCGTTGCATGTTTTGTAAGACACTCAATGGTGGATCCCTGAGAGTGGGGTTGACCTTCACGTGCAGGATCCACACGGCCGCATTTAAAATTTTCAATGTCTCCTCTACAGTCGTTGACCATGTTTTTCACATAGTGGAAGTCACTGAAGACTATTGCTGCCAGTCGGAGAATGTACTGGTGGCAACGTTCATCCTGCAAAAGAAAGTTTATTTTTCATCCAATCCCAATATGACACAAATATATAATGGATTTTACATTATCTGAACACAATATTATCTAATATTCAAATGGAAACTTATCGGCTTGTCAAAATATTTTCTTAATAATCAAGCTGGTAATGTAAGTAACCTTGATCTGGTCCATTCTATCTGTCATGCAAGATATGATGTGACCTGGACTAGAATCGGCTTCACACTCATGAAAATGCTTGAGCTCTGTTTCACAGACATCTTTGGCTAGCTCTTCTATACGCCCACTTCGTGTTAAGTTCATCTTGTAATTCCACAAAAGCTGCAAAAATATAAAATTAAATGAGACAAGAGTTGAAGGTGAGAAAATGTCATTTAGCTAAATTGGATGCATTATGCATGGAGAGGTATATAGGACACAAAAGATGGCAGTCAACTTGTAATGACTTTCTAAACACCATTAGTAATATACCTTAAAAGCTATAACATTCATAATATTTTCACATGCAATGCAAAAACAAAGGCGTAGCCAACCTGTTATAAAGCTAGTCTTCCACATCCACACAGAATCAACTAAAACAAGAAGTTGTTCTGTCACCATTACCTTCAGTTTCTCTCATAACAACAGGAAAATTACCAAAAGCAAACTACCTCTCTATCTTTCACATGATTTAGAAGATATGGATAATGCTCAGGGTCTGATTCTCAGGCTAATTTTACTAGAGCGATAAAGTTGAGTTGGACCTGTGACTGTACCAACAGCCTCAATCACTTTTTATTCTGTACAACACAGCTCATCTGTTCAAAAGAATTTCATTATGGTGGCCAACAACGGGAGCCATTCCCACTTACGTGATTACATTTGTCGTTGATGACTTCTTGGAGGTCCCGCTGAAAAGTAAAATGAATACAATAAGAAATTACTACATTATAATATAAGTGGATTAGCTGTCTGTAAGTGATTGGCCTACAGTATGATGTGTCTATGTGATACAATTTCAAAACATACAGTAATTACTCCCGTCACTGACAGAAAAAAATAAAACCTAAAATAACAGGTCTAAACTCTTGGACCATATGATCCTAACTGCAAAATTATGAAAAAAAAAATACTGTATTACTTTGCTGGAATGTTTGGTAGATACAGTAGTGTAACCCATTTAAAGAGAGTGAGTTTCTATATTATTAACCATACAGTAAAATGTTGTGTTGTATGCCAACCCAACACATACCATGAGTGGCTGAGGTATTTGTTCATTCCCAGTTCCAATGGACCCCAGGGCATGAAAATGTTTTGGTTGACTGATCACTGTATACTGTACTATCTATATACATATTGAACTGTATACCTGTACTGTCTATATACATACTGAACTGTATACCTGCAGAGCGTATAAACAGTAATGCCAAACTAATTGTAAACTTGTATGAATATTTACAATCAGTGCGTAACTCTCACCAATATATCAAGGGTTCAAGCCTTGGCCCGGACACACGTGAGAAGGGTGTCATCCAGTATCACCCAACCAAACACCACAAGTTGTCCCGGTCCCCGTTTTCCTCCTGTACTAACACTGGATAAACTAAACAAATTGTCTCCTGGTTTAAGGACTTTATAAACCTCTAAGTTTTCATTTGAATATGTCCTGCCCACTACAGTTGTTTCATGATTGTAGATAGGGAGATAAAGAAAAAAATATTTATAACGAAAATAAAAAGTTGTCGTCTTAATTTTAATTGTTAATATCATCCAAAGAACAACTGGAAAATATGAAGGAAATATATATGTGTGTTTGGGTGTTAACCATTTCCTCCACCTTTACCCTTTATCTGACAGGTGACTTTCCTCCATAACTTACCCGGATATTCTGTAAACACTCCAGGACAGCAAAATTATTACGGACATCATCCTTACACAGGCGACGAATATCCTCCCTACAGTCCTCTTCATCTACGAGCTTGACAACGGTACTCTTCTTGGGTTGAGGAAGTGCTGCAGGCTGGTCAACTCGAGTGTCAGCCACAGCACACCCATAGAGCAGCACCAGCCACACACCAGCACCTACTAACCACTTCATCGTTCCTTGTCTCGCACTATCCGCCGTGAGATGGTGAAAAAGGGGAGTATTTGTGGTACTTTCTACCACTCTCCCCCGGCCGTCAGTGTTGATGGTCGGTTGTGGCACCAAGCTCTCAGCCTCACTCTACCACACAGGACCTTCATGGACAAGAAAAAAGACTTAAACTAACATAACAGTGAATAAACCTCAATATCTATGTTCTCATAACGCTTTTCTTACTTGAACATAATTTATGAAATTTATTGGGTTTTTTTACTATGAAAATGTAAAATGAAAACAGTATTAAACAAAATATGAAGTGCGAATATATGCGTAGTATATTATTTCCATCTCCATATTTCTAATTATTAAAAGAGAAAAAATTAATATAAAGCTTAAAACTTCAAACAGCCATACGAAATTTATTCTTAAAACATGAATACTTATGTCAAGTTATATCAGATTGTTTTCGTATTTCAGAACTAAATCCCCTCCCTTCCTCCCCTTCTTTCCCGTAGTATTTCGTCCCAGATATAACACAAATGATAATAAAAATATAAAGCAATGTATATATAAAATAAATACAGATATATGGGTATATTTAGAGTGGAACTTTTAATATTAGAGTTTCCCAGGCAGCATCCTTATATCTATGACGAAATACTGATAAGCTAACTTTGAACTACAACGTATTTAGTGCTGTTAAGCTTATTTTCACTTTATAAAGATAGGTTTTATATCAATGAAAATTTTACTTAAGACATTATTTCTGATTTTTAACCAGTTTCTTTTATTATTGTCGCCTATACAGAAACAGAGAAACTCAAGTAATACAGTTATGATTTTTTTGACACTTGTATGATGTGAATTAAACTGACCTCAGAGAATAGTTTAGTTATGGGATGTTCTTCAGGATGATGTACATTGCTCTGAAACAACTTTAATTATATCCATATTTTGATTTATATAAGTTACTACCCCAGATTTAACTGAGAAAATTTGACATTGATTAAATAGAAGCCGACATAATAGCTATATACAGTATACATACACATCTTATTAAAACAACTTAATAAAGGACAATTATTTGTTCATCATGGGAAATGAAACCGACCATTGACGTGTCTTGTCGACAAATGTTGTGATGTTAAAAATATTCATGAGTAAGGCTGGAAACCATTTATTTCAAGAGAAAACTTCCCTAAAATAATTAAAACTTCACTGTGGTCGCTAGGGTATGTCATATTAGATTCAAATTTAATGAAAAGATTTATGATAATATAATTAAATGGTTTAGCGATCATGTTCGTGGTAATTTTCTAGCATTGATTACCTTGCTATCTGGCTGGTCCTGTGTTATCGCCTCACAGATAACAACGATTTTTTGGTTAATTATTCCATGGCGTCATCTCCTGTACTCCACAAACCTTCAAGATAACACAATGGACAACGAGAGAAGTAAAAGGATAAGGGACTTTATGCAGGATCTCTTCAGGCGTTACAATTGCCTGAGAGTCCACACACCTGAAGCTAAAACAGGTAATAAAATGTATATAGGTTTATTCCTTTATTTTTAGCTAAATAGTCACGAAGGAGTTTCCAGTTTAATCATATATGAAAATTTTAATGATCTTTGTTTCTATATAGTTTATAGATAACTGCTGTCATATCAGAGATAGTAAATCAAGATTAATTTTTTACCAATTAAATGGGTGATAGATTACGTTACACATGTCTGGCACACAACTTGACCATTTGGAAGATAATGTATTAATTTTTTTTTATCTCAATTACAAATTTTTCCAAACTTGTAAAATGTTGAGTCTAGTATTGACCTGTCTTCATGCCCTGACCATTCCTTTTGTCTATACTGTAAGTTTACTATGGCTCCCTCTCACTACCTAACACTGTACATGTACACTGAAATACTGTTTACCTTGATTGTGTGACTTCTCTGTATGACTATTTAGTCCATACATATATTAGAATTAATGACAATTTACAGAAAACAAATTCTGTGGTGTGGAAAAGTCTCCCTTCTGGGATGTTGTAGTTTTGACAACTTTCGACGCAGCACAGCGGGAAAGCTTTCAGCGTCAAATTGATTTTAAGAAAAAACATGGCCAATTACCAGAGGTAAGTATTTCTAGATAACACTAAATGTACCAATAAACTCAGAATCTAAAATGAAAAATAAAACTACATTAGCATCATTATAATCTGAATATAAATCCTTCATTCCAGACTAAAATGTTACTTGATATGGAATCCTACTTCCTGATTGTTTTAAAAGGCTAAAAATAATGTTTTATAGACTTGATGTGTTAAGTTTTCTCAAGTGGTGTATACAGTATAAGGTACTAAAAGATTATGGTCTAACATTAACCTTGCACGTTAATCTCTGGTCGATGGCATGACTTCCTATTGCTGCGTTTGTGAGAGAAGTTGTCACACACAATACAGTATAAGTCTAGTTTCTCTTCATAACACATAACAGGTCTTTACTGCTTGTATGCATTTTTTAATACTCTATGACCCTCCAGGTTTCCATTCGCGTCGTGGCTGATCCACCAAACCAAAAACTGGGCGTCGGAGGCTCAACTCTCCACGTACTGATGGAACTGCATAAGGAATTTGGAGATGAACTTTATCAGAGGAAAGTGCTCATTATCCACTCAGGTATTATTGTGGATTTGAAAAGTTGAGAAAATACTAATGATGCTTGCAGGGTTTACACTAAATATCTAGGTGGAAAGTCCAAAGTCTTGGAGGTGGCTAAGGATCTATGGTTTATAAACTGTAAATCATAAAAAAAAATAAATAAATATACACTATTGTGAAATGAATATACTGTACAGGTCGAGTTAACACCTGTAATAACTTTTCAGCTTTGTTAACCATCTTCATAGAACAATTCTTTAGCCTAGATATCAGTTATGTTTCCCTCTGAGCTCTTTAATTGTGAGGCTGTTCTTATAGGAATGCCAAATGGTATTTTCATACCACCTGTTAAAGTTTTATGTCTTAGTGAGTGAATGTTCATCAGATCAGACACCATCATTCTGTTTACCCTTATGACTTTGTTCTTTAGTACTGTATATGATTTTCACACAGTAGTATGTTATCAATCATCACACTGAAGATTTTTTTATTCTCTCCATTTTAATTCACTTTACTTATACATGTACCTGCAACTGCCCTACCAATAGTCATCATCTTACTTTTGTTTGGGAGAAAACACGAGAAACTATGCGGCTGACTATTTTTGAAGGATGGTTGGGTCTATTTAAAGTGGAACATAGTTCTGGTCTGACTAAATACATCAAAGCATATTCATATTGTGAGGGAAGAGGTACACATCATATGGCACACAAACCACATACCTGTTTGTACATTAGTTCTAGTCCAATAAGCAGGAAAGATGAGATCCGCTTGCCAGGCAGGTGTTGGTGCAGATGCTTACTGCAGTACAGTACATGCTTTTGTGAAATCCATTTTAAGTCACAGCTAGTGTCTGCATGCAACCAGTATGTCTGTCCACATATTCAACACTTTCAGTAGTTGGGAGTTAGTAGACCTGTCATTTACAAGTCCATAATTTTTGTCCATCATATGGCTCACAATATGGCCCTGTTGATGGATTCCATAATTCTGTAAATGATACACATGGGACTCACAGGCCAGTAGCTGAACAGGGCATTTATACCTGCAGATAGAGAGAGATACAGTTAATAATTTTTCTGAGATAACCTCTTCACTACAGGGATACCACTTATATTTTATTTCACTAATGCCAGACAATTTTATTCAGCACAGGGGGGATCCCATATACATGTGGTTAGTACTGTACTGTAATTTTTATTATTGTTATGAATGAACATTAATCCAGGAACAATTTTAACTGGCCCAGACATGAATGTGAATTGAGTAGTTGGGCTATGGCAGGTTCAGATTGAAAGCCCTGTACAGTACTTGTACTTACACATTCTGTTTGAGCACCACTTGTTTTTAAAAAAATGTGCATTCCTTAGTCCTGTCTTCCCAAATACTTTATATATACAGCTCCTACCCGACTTACGATGGGGTTAGGGACCCAAATCCAGGTCGTAAGTCGAAATGGTCATAAGTCGAAAATGCTTAAATAATACATAGAAAATCTAAAATAGGTGTCTCTTTTTCTTCTCAGCACCACAAAACTCTCACTTTTAAGTTGCCAGCCATTTTAAAGTGAATTACAAACGAAAATTTTGTCAGTACACAGCACAATCACTGATGTTGGGACTCGAAAATGCGTAATTTGACAAAATTTTGGTACGACTGAGGTGGTCGTATGTCCGGGTGGTCGTATGTCCGGGTGGTCATAAGTCGAGTAGGTCGTAAGTCGGGGAGGAGCTATATATACAGTAGTCACTCGTCAGTATTTCCAAATGCTCTGTATGTGTGAAATAAAACGGGAAACATTAATTTCAGTACTGTAAGAATGTACTGTATTACGCTTTATTAAGCATCAAAAGTACAGTACAGTAACTCCATGTTTTTCGCGGGAATTACGTTCCTGAAACCCCCGTGAAAAGCCCAAACCGCGAATACTCTTTTAGGAATCACTGTACCTGTGGCCACCAAACAGCTCTCCACTCACGGCCCAGTGGTCACACTGATCACTGATGCACTGTATCGACATTTACTAACATCATTATTTTAAACTAATCATATTGTAGTATAATAATGGAAAAACGTAAACAGTTATATACCAAAAAATTTGTTTATTAGTAAATAAAATTTTTTATATTTCGCTGAGGTCGGCAACACCCGCATTGCCAGCCTCTCCCTGCTGTCCCGGCGTCTACCCGCACTTACTCAGTCACGCCAGCCAGCCAGTCCTCTTCCACCCACATTCCTCCACTTGAAGACTTGTATTCTGACAAAAGACACAAATAAATTGTCAGTCTTCACCACATCTTGAGCCATAGCTCATACCACCTCTGAGCTTGTCCAATAAAACTGTTTTTTTCCATTAAGGTCATCACTATTCTTGATCTCTTGGTCACTTTAGAGTCTTTGCTTGTACAGTAATATTTGCCTTTGATGAGGCTGGCTTACTTCCCGGAGCCATGTGGAATGCATGTGGGAGGACAAACAGAAGAGGTAATCACAGTAGCATTCACAGTACGGTAGGCAAGTGTGGACTGAGGCTTCTGGGAGCAGCGGGTGTCTGAGACGGGAAAGGGTGGCGTCTGTTTGCTGCACCGCACAAGGGAATATCAAAAAGGGCGCAAAATTAATTTTTTTTTTTTTTTAAGGATATTATATATATATATATATATATATATATATATACAGTATATAGTTTTTTAGTAAAAAAAACGCGAATGGTCAAAACCGCGATAAAAAATCCCGCAAAAAACACGGGATTACTGTATATACACACTGAAATTATAAAGTAAAAGAAATTATTTACTTTTGAGAAATAATACTGTACTGTGCTTCTATCTTGCAGGTGGCAGTAGCCAGAGGTTACCTAGTTATAGTGTGTTGGGCAAGATATTTGCACCTGTTCCTGCCAAAGGTAAGGTTTCTTTGTTTAGAACATTGTTGTCGAAACCTTAGCTTGAATATTTGAAAATATCCGATGCTTAGGGCACTAGCGCAGTAACCATATAGATACTAGAACAAAGATAGAGCTTGAGGAAGACAGAGGAAGGAGGAAAGACCAGGGAGAAGGAAGAATAAAATAAGAAAGAGAAAGGAAGGGAAGGGAAGAAGCTTTTGGCAAGATTATTGCATATTTATCTCAGGAATTTTAGATGACAGAAAGGAAAAGTATTACAGGTATCAGGTCCTGGTCACAACTTAGTAAGTATTTCACATGACTGAGTACAGTATTAGTCAAGTGAAAAAGTAAATTAATTGAAAAAAAAAAAGGATATATTATGTAGAGTTGAACAGCTTCATTTACAGAGATAGCAGTTAATTAAAATCAGAAATACATAGACAGATGTACTAATTGTACTCAGGGCATATTTATTTTAGCTTTTGATTCATTATTTCAGCTTTTTGTATTATGTACTGTACACAACATAATGCTTAGGAAAAGGAGGCTAATGGTGTGTATAATAAATTTTCAAGAAGTAGGGTTAAGACTACAGACCAAGATCCATCTCTCAAATTCATTTTGCAAGGAAGCCTGTGTACAAAATGAACAACATTCATGTAGATAAGACTAATTGTATACACATGTACTGTACTGACACATTTTGTAACGTGGAATACAAACTAAAGACAACCTAAAACCATTAGGTTAGGTTTGGTTAAGTAAAGCCTGATAGAGTTCGGTTTTGTTATCATAAAAGGTAATAAAGAAGTAGTGACCCAACCTTGCCAGTTAAGAGGGCACTTGCAAGCCATAGAAGGTCCAGTTCCCAATAGGAAGGGCATCCAGCCAGAAAATTTGCCTGATGGCAACCAGGAGACAGGCTTGGAGAGCTGCCATCAAGCTAGCACATGCAAGCATAGAAAATATCCATAAACCAGTGATAATGATGATAGAAAAATGATATGTAGTAAGAAAAAGCTTCAATTGTCTAGTTATCATGGATCTTTCTGTGATACTGTACAGTAATATTGTATTATTTCATAAATTGTATCTAAGATCATGTGACAAGTAAGGTAAAGCAGTCAGTATAGATGAGGGTTAAAACCATTTTTTTTAAATGATACTTTATAATGAACTTACAAATTATGTAGTGTACTGTACAGTACTGTACCTTATTTTTTTCTGGGAAAGCTGTTTGAGTGTTTATTATACAGTTTCTGTTTTGGTAATTTCTTCCAGGACTGAGTATGAACTGTAGTGTACCACAGATGTTTGACCTCAAGTTAGCCATGTATCTACCCTTCTGTGAGCTGCTGGGGCCTGGGGTGTTTGTTACCTGTGCTGATGATATTGAGACTTATTGCCTCCATATAAATAGTTTAGGTCAGTGTGTACAACTTCTTAATATACTGGACTCTTTTCCTCATTATGCAGGCTACTTCACAATAAAGAAGTTAAACAGAAATACAGTATAGTACTCCACTATTCATTGGTTTTATAAACATCAATACAGTACACTAATTAGCCCCCCATATTAGATCTATCATACATTTTGCAACTCACAACAGATTAAAATTTAATTTAAATCATTTATGAAAAAAAACCCAGAACAGTAGGATGCTCTAATAATAAATATTGGTAGTTAAATCTCAAATAGTGAAGACAAAAGCTGGTTACTCATATGTCATACTTTGTACAGAATCAGAAAAAAAAATGCAAGAATAGAAACAAAAAATTGTCTCGGATTAACTAGATGAAAAAGCCAGTGACACTTAATGTCTCGATAACATTTTATTTTCAGATATGAAATCTTTAGAGTCAGCAGATGTGGTAGCTTTGGGTCACCCTTCATCTCTTTCCACTGGCAAGGGACATGGTGTCTATGTGATAGGAAATTATGTGACCCAGTCATCAACTTGCACTAGCAGTGTTCAAGAATGTATGGAGGTGTTGCAGAAACCATCAGAAAGTGTCATGAGGTCAAGAGGAGCAGTTTTTGTGAAGGGTGAGCTTCTCTCTTTCTGACTACCGCTAGTATAGACAAATCCTTTGATCATAGCGTAAAATGTAAAATTATTATTACCCCATACTAAATATAAATGAAGTACAGGTACTGTATTTAAAACATTTAACATTGCAGAAAAATCCACTCTAAAGTGGCACTTACATTTCCAAAGATTTTTGCTCTGGTTTCCATGTGCTGCCATTGTCCTTTTCATCAGTACAGTACAGGGCTGCCTGACTTATCGCAAAGGTTACAGGCATGAAACTCGTTGCAAATAGCGGAGCAATTTTTCTCATAAAAAATTATGTAAATAGGGGGGATACGGGCATCGTGGTGGTCACTTGTTTTACTCAATACATTTAGAACATAAAATAAATAAAGAAACAAGGGCATAATATCAAATAATATCAATAACAAACACTGAGTTTATTAGGCGTATATATTTACAAGTACAATATACAGGGGCACTTTACATGTTTGAGTGTTTGAATGTTTATGTGCGTAGGTGTGTGAAGTAAGTTTTAAAAGTAGACATCACGGAACCTCGTCACCTTCGTAGCCGTCAGTAGTGTTGCAGACCCGGCCATCTCCTTGATCTTGTTGGCACTTTTAACTATAGAATGCACTGTAGAGGGAGCCAAGCTGTGCACGCGCCCCATCACCGACGTTCCTTCTCCGTGTTCATGTCTTTTTATGATATCCAATTTCACGTCCAACGTAACTGCCACACGTGATCTCTTAGCAACATTGCTGGGAGTTTTAGTATCTGGTCGCTTAGGCATTGCTAGATCACACAAAACACACGCCAGCACGTGTGAGACTGAGGCGAGCGGGAGTGTATCGCTGAGGAATACGTACACACGCTGTCCTACACTACGGCTGAGGCGGGTGGTTCAAAATTTTTGCTCCTAAGAATTTGTGAATAAACGGGGCAACCATTGCTAATAGTGGAAATGCATAACAATAAATCTATTGCGGATAAACGGGGTTACAAATACCGAGGCTATGAATAAAGGGGTTTGCCTGTACAGTATTTACTATTTATAGTAAACAAAAGTTTTTTAAGGTTGTATTTGAAGCATGCTCTGTGTTACACTGTTGGGCAGGGGGGGGATTAATTTTTCATAAGGCATGCTGCAATAGGATAACAAACGTGACTAAATGTTTTTTAATGTAACTAAAGTTGTATGATAGTCTTTTGTATAAATAAATTTTAAATGACATTAACAAACTTGAAGAGAATATATTTACACTACAGTATTGTCCTTTTTGCACAAAGCTTTGTATAACATATTTTTGTTTGTTCTTGCAAACCTTATCCTACAATACTGCAGGGTAGCAGCATAGAGTATAGTACAGGTATAGCTTTTCTCATTTTTCACAAATACTTTGAACTACTGTACAGTCCTGTATTTAATTCTCAATTTCAGAGGAAGGAGACATCTCCAAGGAACAGGTCTGGAGTGACAGTGTATTTTGGCTCTCTAGTCGAGTGTGTCGTGATCTCCTGGAATGGTACAGAAAAAATTCACCGCTGTCTTCAGAACTTGATGCTTATGCCCATTTTCTGCCCTGTTTGGGCACACGAATGGTGGATGCCAAACCATCTGATTTTAAAGACTTTCGTTTTGAAATGTTACCAATTCTTAAGGATTTCAGCTTAAAGGTTCTTCTCCTGGAGGAGTCTGAATTTTATCATATGGGAACCATGGAGGAGTATTTGATGCATTTTAATATTATGAGAAATTTCTGTGAAGAGTTGGCAATAGTGAAAAATACCAGTAATTCACATGATTGTTGCATAGTAAAAGTTAGAGAAAATTTACCATCATCCTTTGAGAATGGCATGATTATAGAAACTTACTTCTCAGGTCCAACCCCGACTATAACTGTACCTCAAGATTCAACACAGTTTGTCATAGAAAACTGCCACATAAACTTGTCATTTAAAGTTGATAGTGATATTATAATGAGCAATTGTGTTATCCAGGAGTGTTCTAATGTTTCCTTCCTTAACAATGAACTGAATCTATTTGGTAACCTTTTGTACCACACTGTACCAATAGTGTTCAAGGGTGAGTCAATATATGTCACAGTAGCATTTGATTTGACTGCTAATATGAAAAGTGTCTCTAAGGATTTATCTAATATATATAATTATGGTTGTAGCATTAGTGATGTGTCACGAATTCTTGGTTATGATGTAAGAGAAATGGTGCCAAGTTCCTCCAGCACTGTATCCCTTTGGACAGCTCGAATGTTCTTGGGAGGTTCAACTGCTGCCGAGAGCTTTTGGTTCACACACCACGCCATAAACAAGATTAAACATGAACAAGATGGAGAGGCACTACAAACTAGTATTGATGGAGGTAAAAGTTCTCACTTGTTTAGTATGAGCGATGTTGTGATGCTCAAAGATTTGGAGACACTGTTGAAAGACAGATATCACTTGTCTTCATGTATATAAGATAACCATTGTTTTTAAGAGTATCTGTTAGGTATTACTAGTAGCTATGATATTTTGTTTAATTGTTGAAGTTTGTAAAGTTTATATTTTGTTATATATACTGAGTAATATCAGTTACTATTAGCATGGTTTGGGATAAAATAATAATGGTCTGTAAAAAGTAAACAAGAGGTAGGAAAGGAAACATTTTTTATTCTGGTTATTTCTCCATGTAAAATTCAGTACTACTGTAACTGTATTAGTAAAAACAGAACAAATTTAAAACTTGTTGTTTGCCACGTGGCCTCATGCCTAGCGGGAAATTTCTGTTCACTGTCTGTACTGTACACTTAAGAACAGGGTCTTTTGGTTCACTGGAATTCATTACTGTACAGTATTGTCTTTTTCAATATTATAAGTGTGATGCACTACAGTATATTTGTTGTTTTAGAATTCAGCACTTGAAAACCTTAAGTATTACAGCAATGGTTGATATTAGTCAAAGTACAATTGTTTTTCATGAATCTCGATGAAATACGACAGTATTGACCTGAAAATTTATATTCACCAAACTTATTTGAAGTGATGGGTAAACCAGATGGAAATCTTGGTGCTTTATTATAGAAGACCATAAGAGAATACATCTGTTATAATTAATGAAAAACAGAGAATTAGAAAGAGACTGTTGTTCATATCCTGCTTTTGTTCTCTGTATGAAGCAGAAAAAGAACAGCAATTAGGCATAATTTATGTGAAGAATGGCTGCATAAAAAGATATAGTTTACAGACCTTTAACCAAAGAGGAATGAGAGTCCGACATTTAGTGACACAGTTGTCGACTTTGTGTGTAATACTGTACAGTCTTTCCTCTTAACTGTGAGGGTTAGGTTCCTGAAAAACTCCCAGAGACAAGCTCGGAGTCCTAAAATATTCACTAAGGTAAAAAAACCAATCTGTATGTGATATTTTCCTCTTTAACTATACAGTACACTGTAACATTAAAACTTAAAATTGTAGGCATATACAAGGCAATAAATAAAGCAAATAAATAACAATAATGAAAGCATAAAAAGAGCAAAAATTATACAAGTTACTTTAAACACGGAGTTGTAATTTACATTGACGCTTGCCCCAGCAAAGCAGCCCAGGTGTGACTGCCTACCTGTAGCAATAGTATTCTGTGCTGCGTACAGGATCTGACTCTCGACTTATTCACATGCACACCTACAGAGACAAGGGTTGAGGATGTAGGAAGGTTAAAAATGAACATGTCTTACCTGTAATAAAATTAAGAAGTAAGCTATTTACTGGGAGAATAAATAAAATAATTACAGTACAGTACAGTATTAACTTTTACCTATGAATTTCATGTTCTGCTGACTAATAAAATAGAAGAAAAAATTTTGTTGCTAACCTTTCATGGTGATAATGATGACATTTTTAGCCATAGTCGACAGCCTCAAGATTATCCAATTCCTCGACTCCACCACAACCTCAGGATCATCTACAGATGACTCCGATTCCATTGACAGAGACTTGGAAAGAAAATGGTGGTGCTAGGAGAGCTGGTCCGTGACGAGTGGACGATTGTGGTGGGACTGGTGCAAGACGAATGAGTGATGGTGACGGTTTGTGAGGAGGGGGTGGTGGCAGACGAAGGCATCAGAAAACTGAGGATGGATGGATGTTTTATTTTCCAATGAAAGCCCTTCTGCACTTCCCTATAAGGCTGCATTATTTCCTCCAACTTTCTTTTGAATTTTAGGCTTCTTTCCATAAAAGGATCAGCCTCGATCACCATGTCACTGAGATTTCTGCCCAGTAGCACGATGTCAATAACCTTGAGAGTTAATTTGGGCTTCTCCTTCACTTCGCTATCACTGCCCTCCTCGTCGCAAGAGCTTAACTCAATAACCTCATCCAGGTCCTCTTCAGTCAGCTCCTCACTGTGAACATTCAGTAGTTCCTCAACTTCCGTCTCATTCAGGTCCTCAAATCCTTCCCCACCCACAGTATGTGCCAGCTGCACAATCCTTATCAACCGTGGGGAATCCTGTGAAGTCGTGTACGACTTCCTTCCACAATTTTTGCCAACAGGCGTTGATTGTTACGGCTGGACCTCGTCTAAGGACTCCTTGATGTTGGAAACACAGTCCGCTATCGTATATTTATTCCAGTAATCAGAGAGTCGGTGAAGAATCATTTTCTATGCCATCAAGGATGCCAACAAAGGTATGGCAGGTGTAATATGCCTTGAAACACTTGATAACTTCCTGATCTAAGGGCTGCAACAGGGAAGTGGTGTGGGATGGTAAGAACACCACTTCAATGTTAGGTTTTTCCTCAGTAAATACATCTTGACGTCGTGCGAAAAACAGTTGTGCAGCCAGTCCATGAACAACATGCCAGTAACCCACGCCTTCCTGTACACAAGCATCGGCTTCGCCATAAAGTCCCCAGACACATTTGCACACATTAGAAGGGTCAACCTGTCTTTGGCTGCCTTGAACCCTGGAGCAGTCTTCTCTTCCTTGGAGATGAAGGCCTTGCTGGCATCCTTTTCCAAAACAGACCTGTCTCGTCAGCATTGAAGACCTGCTCTGACAGATATCCCTTCTCCTCTATCAGCTCCTTTAGCATGTCTGGATATAATCCTGCAGTTACGTAGTCTTCTGATGTTGCCTCCCCCACGGTCTTAAAGCTGGGAATGCTGGTTTGTTTTTAAGAGTTGTCCACTCAAAAATTTTCCGAAAATCGAAACAGCAATGCACAGGCTAAGAAGTTTGCTTAGGTACCATAGGTTAGGTTAGATTCTGTGCATTGTCATTTCAATTTTCTTACTTAGTATCATCCAAACAACATTTTGAAAATTTGGTACAATTCCATACAGTCTTTCTGGTCCTAACTGTCTCCACCATTAATGAGGAAGTGAACACAGTTTTAATTTTTATGGCCTGTGGTCAAGCAAAAACACTTTCTTCTTTACAGTTATAATGAACTGAAACAAGTTACTTGACCACATTAAAACCAGTATTGTTATCAAACAATTAAAATTTAAAACTAAAAAATACATAAAGAGATGATGCTACAACAAGAGAAGAGAAAGAGTTTCTATATTAACCAGTAAGGTAGTACTGTACTACAGGCAGGCAAGGGGTGACTCAAAAGACATCACTAAGTTCAGTGTTTATACCTGGACCTGGCAGATGCCCGCCCCACAAGGGGTCACAGCTTAAAGTTGAAAAGTCACAAGTTCAGAAAATTGTCAGGGTAAAGTTTTGGGAGTTAAAGAGTTGTAAACTCTTGGAACACTGCCAGAGAATGTTGTGACAGCACCGAGTGTGAGCTCATTCATGAACAGACTTGACCAACACTGGCGCAGATACAAATACACGTACATGCAGGAGCCAGCACATGCCCAGTACTTGCCTACAGCGAATAACAGCCATACTCAATCACCAAAGTGGCTAACAAACAAAAGATACCTGGCAGTCCTGCACCATCAGGGGAAACTGTCCTCCACACCCACTGTAAACCTGCAGTGTCTATACACATGCTAAACTGAATGCGTGCATAGTATATATATATACATGTCAAACCAATTGTTAGCTGAATATATATTAGTAGTAGTAGAAATATTATTTGGTTAAGTTTCAACTGTCGTGCTCTCAGTGTGGGCGATGCTCCTTTGTTATCTTTGTTTACATGATCACAGCTGACTGTTGTTTGTGTTGTGAGTGATGGCGTCGTCTAACTCCTCCGATGACCATGTTCCTCCATTATTTAAAGTGAATTCTAATGTAGATGGATACACAGCCCACGAGTGTGTTAGAGTAGAGAGGTGTCCACTTTGTAATCAGAAAACTAAAGCGTTTTACTGTAAGGAGTGTGTGAGAAATGGGAACTTCTATCACTCTAGCATGAAGCTACCAGAAAGGTATGTAGGTAATTCAAGTACAATAAGGTCATCAAGTACACAGTTCACAATGCAGTAATGTAATCTACTGTATTTGGTATTTTGCAGTTTCGGCCAATACACGGCCGACTGTTATAACCATCCCCAAGCTTTAGATCTCCTATTTGTAGTATTTCTAAACCAAGATCAAACAGGGGGGCAAGGAATAATGTCAGAAATGAATTTTAAAGTTTTTCCGTACTTTTTTTGGCGGGGGATAACTCTAAAATGGGTACTTCCCACCCGGAAAGAAAGATCAAATTTGATTAAATCACACTAAAATACACAGGATAAACTTATTTCTAAACCATTAGGGTATATTGGCTGAAACTGAAATTTTACCAAATTTTTCATAAAAGAAAATGAAATTTTCATAATGTAAAATTTTCAAAAAAGAAAATGGGAACTTTTCATCAAAATCTTTTTTTAAAACTTTGTTCAAACAGGGTTAGTTTCTATTAATCAAAGTTATGGAGGTCTCAGTACATTATGCAGTTGATCAGTATGGGAAAACAATGATATGTCTGAAGATCATAAATTTGGTACAAAATATATTTCCTAAAGGTATACATTATACATGTACAGTATACATACAAGTTTATGTAATGATGTCATTACATGTCAAACATAGGTCAGTAGTCTCCATGTGAAACTACCAGTCTTACATAAACCTATTATTAGAGGAGGAAAGTGAATAATAGAATAACTAATGGGGGGGGGGAGCAAGTTTTAAACAATATTTCAAATTGGGAACAACAGAATCAAGAGCAGTCAATTTGTAATTTCAACCAACCACGGCTCTCGAGTTGAACATGTGTTTTACCAATGGTTTAGACACTTTTAAGACTCTTTTTCTTCTATGTTTCCTTCGCAAATGTCATAGAAGAAAATTGTCTAAAACATCGGAAAAACACATGTTCAACTCGAGAGCCGTGGTTGGTCGACCTTCAGTAACAGTTGCATCAATTAATAATGCTATGTGAAGTAAATTACGGTACAGTATATTGACTTTGTACATAAAAAAGTACATTCTTTGTTATAAGACCAGACATGCCTCACATGCCTTTTCCATTAAATAAATACTATACTACAAAAGTTAAGTGCCTCTTTCACAGGTAACTCATTTTACAGACAGACAATGACCTACAAAATGAAGTGTGATATCTAATGGGTGCAAGTGATATTGGCACAATTCATATCGTACTGTAATACTGATCCAGGTGGTATGAAAGTTTATAAGTTAACTCTTAACTCAAGTCCTAATCATTCAAAGATATTATAACTATTACCATCAACCATATAAAATCGCCTCATGGTACTGTATATGTCTTTTAACAAACAATGTTCTTTAATGTGGATCTTTTCCTTAATTATGCAATAGAGTTCCATAAGCTACCTGTCATTTCATCTGAATCTGTCATTGATTATTATGACTTGGCAATACTACCTGTGCCAGGAAATATAGTGAATATCACAACAAATAAAAACATGCATTTCCGTACATCTGGCAAAAATTAGTTCTGTACTAATTCCACAAATGTTCAAGTTACATGAATTAAATTCTTGAGGTACACTGATACTAGGATGTTACTGCTACAGCAATTCTAGCCACTCACTACAAATGTTAATCTGAACTGGTCTGATTATGACACTTACTGCATTTACCATGATCTTTACTGTAAGAATGCTGATGCCAAGGGTAGTATAAATAGTTATCTCCACACTGCAGAGCCAAGCTAAAAACACATGAACATTATTGCCCAAAATACTGGAAAATACTCTATTTCTATTCTTATATACTGATAAAACTAGTTCTGTTTCTCCATGCTTTCACCAACTACTCTAAATCAATTTCCTCATCCTTAACAACATTACACATCCTCTACAAGCAAACTCTCAATACTTGTAATAATCTAAATCTATTTTACTGGAGAATCACACGTTTACAGTACTTTATGGACGTAAGAGCTGTAAATTTGTATGAGGGAACTTAAACTTGTAACTACAACCTAAATTATGAAGAATGAACTTCATATACAAGGCTCACTACACAGTACAATGTACAGTCACCCACAAAAGTCCTTCTGAACTACAAACAGCTGGAGTGGAGTGGCCACAGGACTTTTGTGGTTAACTGTACTACCAATCTCAAACTGCCAATGGTAATTTCCAGCTGACCAGGTTATAACTTCAATAATAATAACTAAATACATAAAACAACTACAAATGGTTCAAGCTTACCCAAATTTGCAGTCTAACCAGTGCCTGTGAGGTGCCATCTACATAATCCACATACACTATCTCTCTCTCTTTTTTTCACCTTACAGGACCTAAGTTCTTAGAATTTAGTTGAGACCTTGTGTCTATTAAAAAATAGAGAAAAAAGTACAGTTGTAGTACAGGTATGGAATGTAGTAATCACAGAAGAAAAATCCCCAGTACAATGAGATAAAGCCATGGAAGATAAAATAGAACATTACAAAACTCTAAATAAAAGTTATCATCACAAAAGAAAGAAAGAAAAATAACAACCTTAACAATGAATATTAAAACCTCTTTAAAGTGATGTTTATATTTTTAAATTATCTGGAGTTGGAATATTTGTAAGAACTACCTAATTTTAAAATAATGGTACTGTAATTAAAAGAAGCATTATTCTCTTTAATTTAGACAGATTATGTCTTACATCACCTTTCATGAAGTGATTTATTTATTTATTTATTTATTTTATTTTGCAGTAGTAAGATGAAGGATAAAAGTAAAGAACTGTACACACCCTTCAGTAAGGTCCTTATAGATATTTCAATATGTCATTTACTTTAACATCCTAAAGCATTAACCATATAAATTAAGGAGATTTATTACAATAAATCTACAGTATTTTCTTCATAAAAGGGTTATTTTAATACATTAAAATACTCTGGTGTTAGTTTTGTGCAGAAACACAAAATATTCAATACAGTGGTAATACCTTCCAACTTTAAAACTAACTGTAGAAAGTAACAGTACATATTTCTGATGTTTCATATTTTGTTTCCTATATTTATATATCGTAAAAAAAAAAAAATAACCTACAGCTGCAGTTTACGTAATTGAAGTGATACTCCCAATAATGAATTTCCTCATTGGATAGGATTAACTTTTATCAGTACACAGAAATATCACTTCAGTCCAGCTGCATTCTTTCCCAATTCCAACATGAGATGTTACTTTAAACCAAAATAACTGTCCTTAAAATTACTCCAACATTACCAATTTCATCAGCCATTTTTTTTAATTTAAAATAAAATTGAATGCTGCACATCACTCGAAAGAACACTACCCATCAGTAGATAATTTACTCGAGACCTACTGACACTCAACGAGCATTCACTTTAAGATTCTTGCACAAAATATATTAAAGCTATAAAATCAAGAACTTTTGGATTCCTGAGAAGCAACACAATCCTCTATTTCCAAATTATGTACACATTAAAAGCACTATTAACTTACACATCTGGAATCTCCCATATAAGAGTAATTTCAAATATGGTGAAAAATATATAATGAACACCAAATGCAGCAATCCTGGTCTTAAAACATGCTTAACGATTACAGTAAATCCTGGTCCTAAAAAAAAAAAGTAAAAAAATTCCAAGCAACTTGATTTAATAAAGTGCTTGCCTGGGACTAGTCACAAAATGATCTACCACTGTCAGACAAGAACATCTATTCTATGAACATGACTGATTACACAACACTATCCCTTATGAGAAAAACTGGTCCTCATTTCAAGGTGAGGAAATATATCAACAAATGTAAGCAGAGCTAATAAGCTAATGTGAAGTAATCCTGATCAATGTAAAAAAATTTAACATCCAGTCTTAATTAACCTGTGAATAATGCACAATAAATACTGATAAAAACAATCTTACTAACTCTTTAATCTATAAATTGGGGCTAAAGAGCTCTAATGGCTGAATCCTCCAAATGTTGCTCCTGACAATTTGTCCCATTCCCTTGCCTATCATCTCATGTTTTTATTATATGTGAATATTATGAAATAGAGAAACTTTGTGAAGCATAAAAACTTCAGTGGTCTTTCTTGATGTGAATGCGCAGATGTTTGTTGATGTGTCTGTCTTTTATGTAGACGACAATTATGTCTGTGTTATATATACATTTCCATGTTTTTCTTGACCTGGTGACCAGTGGTGGAGTTCTGCACAGCCCAGTCAGCATCAGGGGCACTATCTGCACCATCAGCCTCGTGTGTCTGGTAATCACCTTTGTGCCTTGCCATGTAGCGTCCAATTAAGAACCCCATGCACAGCAGTGCGAGAAAAATGATCCCAAGAACTCCTGAAAAGGAGATTTTTTTTCTTTTATAATCTGAACAATTCCTTAATCAATAACCAATTTCTGCATCTAAAGAAACTTAATCAGACATTACTGTACAAATGGTAACTCTTCTCCATTACCAATACAGTTCCGAGTTCTTACATTATACATTCTCATCACTCCAATAATGCTGTTATTAATTTCTACTGCCCTTATTCTTGATGATGTATCTGAAACTGGAAAGCTTATACTGTAGCTTGACTTGCCTAAAAAAAGGGGTTAGAAAAGTACAGTATTTAATTCTTCATGTAAAATTGTTACAAACACACAAAACTTCTTTCATTAATCATACAACTGAACCGAAGGTAGTAAATATAGTGTGAATAAGCAGATTATTAAGTTACATACCATGGGATAAGCCACAGCGCTCTCCATGCTCTCAAGTGGGGACAAAAATTATTCCTAAATATAACTATTACACTATGTCCTAAAATGAAAGCTATAAGCAATAATTCATCCACAATGCTATAGAGTAGTATTCACATTAGAAAATATATTCTGTATTGGTCTTTTAACATATTTATTATCTAATTTAACCCCTAAGCCCCAGTTGTCGTTCCGGAACGATCATTTAAGGCATCCTGGTTGACGTTCCGGAACGCGCACCTTTTGCGGCATTGATTGAATGACCAGCGCGGGTTATCAGGTTCCAGCGTGACTATTTGCGACTCATTCCACGCTCGGCCACAGGGAAGCTTCTGGAATGTAAGTACTGTACCTACTTTTGTTTGTTTCAAATTAAATTGTTTGTCCATTTTATTATGGTGTATCAAAGTAATATTTCTAAAAGTAGTGTAGTTGTATTGTAGTGTAGTATTACTGGAAAATAATGCTATGCGTGTTATAAATGCATTATTTATGGAATTATTATTCCGATAATTATTTCTATGTATTACTTGCTCTCCCAAACACAAAGACAGCCAGGCGACTAACTGCGTGAGTCACCGAGCATTTTTAATGAAAAATAATGCAAATAAATAAATTCTAAATGAATTATTTATATGAAATAAGTATTATAATCAGTAAATATATGCATTACTGGCCAACCCGGACACAAAGGCAAGCAGAAAATGGCTGCGAAGTGCGTACGTGACCCTTATCTCCCTCGATCCGCGCTGCCATTTTCCTGCCACTGCAGCCCCAGGGAAGTTTCTTTAAGGTCAATATATAGTTTGTCTTACTTCTTCTTGATTGTTTTATCATTTAAAAAGGTGTAATGTGCACTAAATATAGACAGAAATAAGGAAGAATGATACAAAAAGTTGGTATACAACTCTTAGATGACTAAACACTTGGGTTATTTGGTAATTCTGGATATCAAGGGGATACAAAATTAATTAGATATCTGTAAGTCAGACGGTTTTTAGTTTATAATTATCTATAAATCCTTTGTTGCCTTGTATGTATGAATGTATGGTGCTACCTGTGGTGTAATAATCAGCATGTTCGCCTCACAAGCGAGTGGACCCAGGTTCGATCCCCGGGCAGGGTGAAACTATGGGCAAATTTCTTTATGCCATTTGCCTCTGTCTACCCAGCAGTAATTGGGAACCTGGAAGTTAATTGATTTGCGGATTGTGTTCCGGGGTAATGGTCAGCCAGTGCAGTTGGCGAGTTGTCCGGTCTTCTCGGACTATTCCTTGACACTGGGTCATGCAGCTCGTTAACTCAGGGTGTGGTTGTAGTGTTGGCGACAACTTCTACACCTTAAACAAATTCACATCTAGGTTGCCCTTGGGCCGGCCATCCTCGTTACACAGGGGGCAACCATTATTATTATTATTATATATGTATGTGTGTATGTGCTGATAACCACAAGGAAAAAAAAAACACGAAGTTCCCAAGCGCTTTCGTATAATTCACATCTTCAGGGGTGAGTACAGACTGTACTCACCCCTGAAGATGTGAATTACACGAAAGCGCTTGGGAACTTCGTGTTTTCTTTTTCCTTGTGGTTATCAGCATATACCTGGATCATGCACACCTACAGTGATTTACTTGCATGTGTGTATGTATGTGTGTATGTATGTATGTATGTATGTAAGTATCTATATCCCAGCTTTACTGAAGCATAAGCCCACTTCAGCCCAAACTCCTCATTGATAATATTCATGGAGATCCCAGCACCAATTGTCTCATATCTTCAGTTTCTCTTCAACTGGTAGTTCTGTACACCATTCATTTTCTCCCAGCTAAATAAGCAACCATCACATCCCATCATCTTACCTCCAAGGACTGCCGAGTTGTCTGAGTACATTTCCATGAGCACTTCCTCCGACACCTCCGGTGGAGGCCGTGTTTCCGTTTCTTCTTCTGGGTATCGTATGGGTTCAATCCCACAGTAGTCCTCGAAGATGGTTGATGCTGTTCATGAAGAAACAAATATTTTATAATTATATAACCTTAATGGTCAAATAACGAACATGACAAAATGAAAATAGAGACGGAATTGCTATCTGTAAAATACTGCTGGTGACTGAGAATGTGAAAAATTCATATCTATGTTTACCATGTTTTATAGTGGGGGAGAACAGGGAAAAATGTGGTTATAAGTTTTGGGGGCTTAAAATTTTTCTAATGTGTAGTATGGAGAATCTACAACCGGTAATTGGAGGTAATTATTTAGGTATAGTCTTGAAAATGTAACACAAATGATATAAGACAATGGAAATGGGATGTGTATAGGGGAGAGAACAACCATGACAGAACTGACAAGTAGAGAGGGTAATCACAGATATCAAGCAGTAGCAGATGTTTCACAAGACTCCAGGAAGAGATCCAAGATATTCAAAACAGGGAGCAAGAGGAGCATAAACACCAGTTACCATATACTGACATCAAACCAAATGATGAAACACATACTGACACGTGCAATGAGATATACTGTACTCTGGAAATTTATGGATATGGGAAATGAGATACTTTGGCCACATTAATTAAGAGATAGTAAATAATGGCATATATATTATTGATTAGACTGACTGTATGAAGAGTTAAAGGTAGGCAAAGACTGTGATGGATGAATGCAAATTAAAGTTGAGACTCCAGAGTGACAAACTCAAGGAGCATTAGTAGAGAAAGAACAAATACAGGCTGGCAGTGGTCATCAGCCCTCATACTGTACAAGAGAAATGCACCTCCATTGATTAATCCCTTTAATTATACACTTCTTTCTAGTTGTGCTTAATATAAAACATTACATGGAATTACATATTAAAGGTAAACATGTACCCTATACTGTATTTATTATGAAATTTCAAAAACATTAAAAAGTATCCTGATTTATGGTAAGCTAAGCCAAAATTAGGCCTGGATCCTGTGTTAATAACTTCATGGGAAGAGAGAACTGTTGCTGTTTATGGCAGTCTACCCCCAACCACCTCAATCTACCTACCATAAGTTACTAGGCACACACACCACTTAATATTCCACCTAGCCAAAACAAACGTAGATAAACGATTTATTTTTTTCATTTATCATATATCTGCATACACATACCGTATATACTCGTGTGTAGTTCGAGTTTTTAAGACCAAATTTTTAGGCAAAAAATTGGGGGTCGACCTCTACATGCGTAATAGTTTTGTTAGGTTGAACCCGTGCATGATGGGAAGGGCGAGGAGCAACTTTTAGCTTCAGACATGAAAATATTTACCATTTACTGCCAGTAAACAATGGAAACGTAAAATATGTACCAATTAGTAATGAAAAGTTGTGCAGTTCCTTCAGCAGATGAAGCTCACTAACTTACAATAGGCTAAATTACTTTACAGCGTGCTTTCAGTAGTCTATGTTGAAGTTCTTAGCATAGGCTAACTTATCATATCATATACGGTATCACAGTACTCATTGATCTACAAAAAATACCGGTAATAAAAACCTTTTCAATATTTCACACCTAATATAATACCAGGTAATCCACTTCAACCTCCTATTGTTTACAACGATGCATGACGCACCACCAGCTGTTGCGTATGAGCTAGACGGTACACATGTTTTTTGAATCGTTTTCAGTTAAAAAACTGTTACATCACATGTATATTTTACCTAAACTGTGCCTGAATGAATATATTCTCGGAAATAAATAGTAGTTTTGCTGAAACGTGATGTATTTCAATGTAAAATAGGATAAAATACATGACGAAAACAAAAGACTTTACCTAAGCTTCCGATGTTCTTGAGATGTTACTCGTTTTTTTAATAGTTTTCGGTTAAAATACTGTTATATTACAATGATATTCTATTCATACTGTGCTTGATAGAATACATTCACTGAAATGTAATATTTTTGCTGAAATGACGTACGTATTACAGTGGAAAGTGGGATAAAATCGTGACGAAAACAATGACTTTCGCTTTCTTTCGTTCAAAAGATGTTACCGTAATCGCTTTTCGAATGGTTTTCAGTTAAAAAAACTGTTGTATTACAATAATATTCCCTCCTAATTTACTTGAATAAATACTAGAATGGAGATATACAATATTTTTTAAACTACCCGCGTTTCAGTGTAGTGTCGTAATAATAAATGGTAAACAATTTGCCTTCGGCACTCGGTGTTTCAGGCACGGCGAGCCTCAGTTTATAGGACGTAGAGCGTTTTTACTGAAGGTTTTGTTGTTCCAATACCCTCAAAAACTTGGGTCGACCTATAAACGAGGAATATCATAAATTAACGATTTCTTGGTCAAAAAATCAGGGTCGACCTATAAACGAGGGGGGATTATAGACGAGTATATACGGTATTTAATTTTGAAAGCTTTAAATTTTGCTTTTCTTGTGTCTTTTAAGCAGACAGCAGTAGTCACAATTAAAGGGCCAATGATCTCACATATGAACCAAAGAATACATAACACAATAATCTTACAGAGAAACACACACCTGTTTGTAACACTGCACTCTTTTGAAGCTAAACACCAGGGAACATTAAATTATAGACAGTACTGTACATACAAATTTTCCAAAATATTTGAACCCCCAAAACCACACGCTTCATAAAAATGTTTGGTCAAAATAAGTTTCTTCCTTATTCCTCAGATGAATAGGTTCTCTGACAATCAGGATCTGGTACAATAATCAATACAAGGGCATGTGAAGCCTCCCCAGCGCTCTTGTCTGCCATTGAGGAGTAAAGCATATCTTTAATTAGATGTATCTCTTAATAAACTTACAGGAGATTGTGAGTGCACTACATAAACAACTGTGTAAGCCTGCCACATTGCTGCTGCACTGCTTACACACAACTGACTAGTAATTTATCCTTGCTACCTGGTACAAGTCACACTGACCAACTGAAGCCACACAAATGCTACTGTTCACTTGCCAAGTGTACAATTATACTGTACACATGTTAACTCATTTTTTATAATAATAATATTCTATGGCTACTATGATACTGTACCAGCAAAGCAGCAATAATAATATTTTAGATACATGTAATAAAGTAAAGAAGATTATTTACTAGTGAATTTTAGTGATCATATAAATTTCACAAACATAATTGTACTTTAAATAATATAACATTATTTGCAAATTTCTGAGTACTGAGCATTCAAGGGTGTATTTTCTTTATGTGCAATAAAATACAAGTAATGGTAACAAAGTTCTAAGAGAGTAACCCATTCTTGGTTAAAATGCTCTTTATAACAAGTACAATATCATAAAACAGACAAGTTGATCTATCCATATTGTGAAGTGTCATGCCAGAAAGGTCAATCAAAATCCATGAACACTTAATTGCAATCCCATCTGAGATCTCTTTCTATCAGTTATAAAAAATCTGAATTTAAAACAGAGGACCACAAATCTGACAAAAATCTGAATTTAAAACATAAAATCTGAGGACTCTCCTGTCACCATTATTCTGGTAATTATGTTCCTGCTGTTTTCCACTTCAGACTGGTGACTACAAATAACGTCACTAAATTTAAACTGGAAAGATACATGTAGCGATTACTGTACTGTATTACCATATATTAAACAACTAAAAATATGTTATAACAACCCCAAAAACCCGAGATAAAAAAACATTATTTTTAGATTGTAAATTGGATTAGCCTACACAAACGCCACCCTGCACTCGAACGTCACTCTCTTGTCTGCTCAGAGGTGAATGCACATGGAAGGCTTCAAATGATGAGGAAATGAGTAGCTATCCCCCGATGAACCAGAAACTACCGATCACTTACTGTATATGAATGAAACTTTATCAGTATACAGTGAAGCCTCTATAACGGACTCTCATCTCTAAATAGTTAATTAATTGGAGGTTTTAACATCGTATGGATTTTGCTCTCCATATAGTCCATTAAATGGAGGTTCCCCCATACTGTACTTACTCAAAATTACTTAAAGTGTATATCTTATGACATCATTGGTGTATATATTAATGACATCATTGGTGTATATATTATGACATCATTGGTGTATATATTATGACATCATAGGTGTATATATTATGACATCATTGGTGTATATCTTATGACATCATTGGTGTATATATTATGACATCATAGGTGTATATATTATGACATCATTGGTGTATATCTTATGACATCATTGGTGTATATCTTATGACATCATTGGTGTATATATTATGACATTATTGGTGTATATATTAAGACATCATTGGTGTATATATTAAGACATCATTGGTGTATATATTATGACATCATTGGTGTATATATTATGACATCATTGGTGTATATATTAAGATATCATTGGTGTATATATTATGACATCATTGGTGTATATCTTATGACATTATTTGTGTATATCTTATATATGAAGTACAGCTGTAATATACCCCGGTAAAATTTAAGTCTGCTATAAAAAAATTCATTTGTATACAGACAGACAGACAGACAGACAGCTCAAATGATGTCAATGCCCTGTTAAGTCCTTTTTGGTTACCAAGAATTACAAGGTCACACACACAAGCAAACAAGAAATATACCTAATCCACAAGCAACCATGCAAACTTCCATTCAGGGTCAAGCATAATCCCTAACACGTACGAGACTCTTTTATGTCATCTGCTAAAACATTCTGACACACACACACACACAGACAAGGCTCAGATATAAAATTTTGTGTACGTGACCACACAACAAGGCAGCAAGTGATTACCGGGGAAAATGTGCACTGTTGATTAGCAATAAATTACGTGTTTAGTGACAGGAGTAAACTAAAATGATACTTGGGCCTATACTATAACAAAACATATGGGTACTGTAATTCCCATGTGGTGACAGCAAGATGAAGATAAGAATAAATGTACTGTACACTTAAATGCTACTTAACCTTCGCATGGCATTTACTAAATAAATATAACCCAAATAAACCCAGATCCATAAGTTCAAAGGTAACTTACTTGACTCTGCAATAACTGTAGTTGGGCGGTCCTGTTGGAAATAAAACTTGAGGGGGTAGATGTCGTCAAACTCAACACGAGAGATGCACCCGACAAAGCCCTCAGCCATAGTTTCATTCTTTCCGATGTACACGTACTGTATGTTGTTAAACTGGGCATCGGCTGATCCTTTCACATCAAAATTCCACGTAATGGGCTCATAGTTGTCCACCTTAAGAAAAAGTAAAAATAATTTCATGTGTCATTAACTCCTTCACTATTGGGGTACCTCCCTTGGCAGACAAAGCAAAATTAAAACATGATAGAATACCATTGAAATGAATAAGCATCTGCCCTTCCCCCAACACCAAAAAAAAAAAAAAAAATCAAGATTATATACATAACTCAAAGGACAAAACATTTTCACAATGGTAACCTTGATGGCGAATACATGTACTGTACAGTATACAGGTGTGAGCCCTTATCTGCTTAACCCTTTAAAAACTATTTCCACAACCGTTGCTTTACGCTTGTGAGGATGATTCCCACATGTTACATTATAATTTTTCTCGCCCACATTTGAATTTTCCAAAGCACATCAAGATTATGCTGAAGATCATCATTCACACATTCTTCTCCACTCACATCTTTATAATTTTCTACTATAAATCAATGGGTTACTACTAAAAATCAGCTCAATAAGATGGGCAACTGTAAATGACGAAAGATATTACACACAAAATACTCTTACTTAAAAAATCCACCATCTGGACAGTCTGTTAGTTACCTGCATAGTAAGCTGCCTTCCAGACTCTGATCTGTATAGCTTCACATCATGGTTTTGGCCCTCATGGAACGTTCGCTTCCCATAAACCTTCTCGTGTCGCTCAAATCCAAAATCAAAAGTAACCTTTAAATGACCTGAAAAATATATATAAATTACAGTGTTTAATCAAGACCAAATGTACTGTATATATTGTCCTCGTTGCTGGATGACTGGTGATTTTGCTACAGAGATACTTAATTAATTTTTTTTATTAAAGCCCTAAAATCACAGCAATAGGATTAAATTTTATGTTTTTCAAGAGCCCCTATGAGGCTAGCCCGCCCCTACCCCCACAAATTTTGCCTTGATCACCTCCAGATCCATTTACCTGACAACAATATATATATACGTATATATATAACATGAATATATAATTAACCCATAAAAATTCCCTCCAAGACCAAAAGATGAATGAATATACAGGACATAAACAAATAACTGTAAAGTGTTCCCCAGCTGATGACTGACTAATATGTGAAACAACATATAATGGGGACCCTGCAACTGTATTTTACTCTCAAATCAAAGCAACACAATAAATGTTTTTAAGAAAATGTTTAAAAATGCAACTTAAAACTTACAGGCACAGCATAATTGAGTTTTTAAATACTTTACATTTTTTCAAAGGTCATTAATTAACACTAATTACTAAAAATTTTAAATTGTGAACCAAGATCCATAATCAGCATGTAAAGTAGTACAAGGGGTCCCTGGGTTACGAACTGGTTCCGCTCCTGAAGATGTTCTTAGTGTAAGTCGGAAATGTACAGAACTCAGAACACATGCTATGCGCATATCGTACTTACAGAACAATGTTTAAAATCCCACTATATCATAGCCTAAGTCCTTATATACATCTAAAATAACAATTAAAGAGAAAAAAAGAAATAGAATGACAAAATATAGTAAATGAAAGTAATAAATAAGTCATCAGGTAAATAAAATACTATAAATATAAAGTTTATCCCCGTTTGTATCGGCGGGCATTCATAAGTCGGGAACCGCCTGTACCTTTGTATGAAATTTAAACAAAATCAATTTTTTTACCCCAAGTGCCAAAAACTAAGGTATTAAGGTCAGGCTTATTTTTTTAATGTAAATAGACATTTTTGGGGGAAAGTGAAAACTAACGTGTTTATACTGTATAGTAAAGACAGTCAGGTTGTCTACTGGTCAGACAAAACAAAGTTTCCTGGCTTTTCCAGGTGTAAATTTGAAAACTTCCAGGTACATTTACTTGGTATTCATTATGACAGAATAACAAAATTAGCGGTTTTCAGTAACATGTACAGTATATACTACGGGGTATTGGGAAATTTTAATATGATATAAATGATATTAATCAAGAAAGTGAAGACCCTTTCACGACCCACCCCAAGTCTAGTGATGAACATCGGCAAAGACCTCCATATTTTTCTCCTCGGATTTGTGTGATTCACCTGGGTCGACCAGGACGTTACAAAAAAGCTGGAAATCCGGCAAAAAACAAAAAAATCTACTCCTAATCCACCTATATGACTCATGAATAATATGTGGAATAATCCACTTAAATAAAGTCACTTAATTATAAGAAGAATTCATCTCTGACAATACTCAATGCAGAATTAGTAAGTAAAACCTGTAATATTTGGTTATTTGATCATTAGCATAAAATATGATAAGTACACAAACAATTCAGTTATTGAAGTGGACTATTTATAGTAAGATTGCTGTCAAAATAACAATATTTTGAAGTTGAACTAAAAGCACATAAAATTGCCTGGCTTTTCCAGCCCCAAATAAAATTCCCTGCCTTACCCAGGTTTTCCAGACCAGTAGACACCCTGAACAGCACATACACCTACCAGAATTTGATATGGCCAGTGTGAGATACTCTCCGGTGATGTTCGAGTGCAGCCCCATTAGGAAACCTCGGGGATTAGTGGTCGTAAACCCAACGCGAATCTTCTCGGCGATAGTGGATTTGTACGTGCCTGGGATCACGTATTTGACCATTGTGTCTGTTAACATCTTGATACCAATCTCTGTGAACATGTAAAAAAAATATGTATAAAGCTTCACATTATCCAAATTACATAATGTAACATAAAAAATATGATAATTCTTCATGAATATATATCAGACATTTTTCCTTTCTAGTATTGTACAGTATTGGTAAGAAAAAATTAATTTGTCAAATAACTCAAATTGAGTGAGACAATAGTCAAAGATGTTCACATATTACTGTCTGATTAAGATATATTTACAATACATTTATATTTTTTTTCTCATAAATATTCAAACATTAAGTCTGATAAGAACTGCTATGCTGAAGGGATTGATATTATCCACCCTGCAGAATGGACAAAAAAGGTGGAAAGACAACAAGAACATTACCATCAGCACAGATGGGTCCCTTAAATGCAGTCCATCGACAGTCACACTCATAAGAGGAATATCCCTCATGACAGGTGCCGTTGTTGAGGCAGGGGTTGGACTGACACTTGCCAACACACCCGGCATGAACACCGTACATTCCAGATTCAGCTCTTCCTCGTAAGTCCTGCAGTTCCCCATTCAGAACAAGGGCTCGGATACATCCAACAAATCCATCGCGGTAATCCACTGTAGCTCCTAAACAGTAAAGATACAAGATATTCATACAGTACAAGGAACAGGAAAAAGAAAGTAAACAAAAGTTAGAATCATACCTTCAATAAACAGTTAAAGCTCATAAAAATATTAGATCTGTATTCAATAAGACTTAAATCAGCAATACAACACACAGTCTTACCCATATCAAAATTCCTTTTTCTAACAACTACCATGGAACTGTCAACCACACAATCCCTATACAGTATATCCCTGTCTGCCTTACTCTCAATCTTTCTGATTTCTCCTGTACTATATACATGCACACACACACACACATTGTCAGTTCAACATGTAAAAATTCTAGGGCAAACAATTTCAGTGGCATTACCAAAACATAAAGTGACAAATGTCTGACTGAATGGAAGTACAGTACTGTAGTGTATAAACCAGCCAGCCAAGATAAGGGAACCAACACCACATTTTAAATCTAAAATACTGTATGATAAAAGAGTTATAACTAAATATACACCTCACTTCTGTTCTTATGCACAGGTAGATAGGCAGCATGAACACTGAACAACTTACCAACAACAAAGTCAGAATCCAGATATATGGCACGAACAGGTCCGGCCGGTTCCTTCATCACAGCCTTCCGTCCGCCGTCAATGATCATACGCGACTCTTTACGATTGCGTTCCACCACCACCGTGTGCCATAGGTCGTCGTTGAGCACATATGCAGTTTCCACACTGACACTCATTGGACCAGAGCCAGCCTGGTATTGGAACTGGAGTTGCATACCACCTATTGTATAAAAGAGAGGACCATCATTTAGTTGCAGCATATACTACATGATTCACTATTACAACTCTCCAAACTACCAGTTATAAATCACTTCACAACAGCTTTTTCCTCATTAATGTACTCTTGAAATGTGTACAATGCATCAAACCCTAAAAGTCAAGATTAAATAGAAAAAGTATGAAAAACCACCAAATGTGTATACGAGAATTCTTAAGTTTACTATCATTCACAAAGAACTAAATAAACCTCAAGTTATTTACAAAGATGAGACCCCACAAAGAACTATCTGCAGTGTGGATATATAAAACCAGAATTTATTAAAAATTAAAAAAATAAATAAAAAGATATAGTATAAATAAACAAGGGGAGGGGGAAGGAAAGGATCAAGATGGAAAATGTAAAGGGGAGACTGCTTATGAGATGATGATGATCTGTATGAGTTACCCAACTTACCTTCAATGGAGACTTTCATGTAATCCATAGGTCCTTTGGCATGGATAAGACAACCATCACGAGATGTGGTCTTGAATTCAAAGTATATATCACCTGAATGGCCCATGTCAAAGCGGGGAAGTTTTATGGTAGCGTCAGCCCTACGGAACGTCACCACATTGTCAAATATATCTGTAAGGAAATTCATAGATTCAGGTCATTAAATATAATTACTGGTAGGCCACACCAACCAGAAAATATGGTGGTGTGTGTAGCCAGAAAAAATTCATACTATGAATATGAATTAATATAGCATAGTAATATAAGTGTATACTTACTGTCGCCCTCACAGACAAGGGGACCAAGGGTGTATCTAGCCTTTTTGCCATCCAGAGGGGAGCCAGTATCACCTATCCGTAGTTGACGTACAGGGAGATGTTCCTTCACGGTCAACTCACCACTGTCAAAAAGCCAAGACTCCAAACCTTGTGGGAAACATAAAATATAAATTAGAATTTCACAATCTATGCTGATAATTGGATTGTCATAAATATTCTCAATCTGTTAATTTACAATAAAACTACAAGATCTCAAGGAACTACCATTTAACAGTACTCAAAGTTTCCAACCAATAGCTCGCCGTGGATTCCTGCCCATGCATTGTTCTTATTGTTAGCACTGACCATTGAACCAACATCTGTGATCCTTACTAAAAACCCGCACCAGTTACCCATATTAGCAAACATTTCTCATTCATAGTTCTTTCACAATTTCCCTTTCTTAACTGTCTAAACACTAAGTACTAAGGAGTATATTTGTTACAAGATGTTGGTACTAGCGCCATTCTCTTTCGAGGTGCACACTTTTGAAGTTCTACGATGGCATTCCTCTTCCATAACATGACGTAAATATATCACAGCCACACAATGACTTACCAGCATCACAATTACACCACTTGTTGGTAACACAGGTCCCCATGAGTCCACATTCACACTTCCGGGAGCCTGGCAGTGACCCACCCCAGTAGTCCATGGGCTGGTTGTTGCGCGACACCCACCACGTGAACGGCTGTGTTAAAACGACAATATATAAACAATACTTTCTTCTTGCCAAAAGGGAATGTTTTATGTAAGAAAGATAAAGATCAGAATTATAATTAAAGCCAATGATATCAACATCATTCACATTGTGCTATTACTAACTGACAAAATTTGGATAGAATCCTCCAGATTTGATAATTATCCCAGTAATATCCTACAAAATTTACTTAAGGACTCTGTATGTGGGTTGAGGTACCATACAAATGAGATCACTAAATAAGAAGAGAGTTAGCTGTGTACTCTTTACTGCAATGAAACAACAAAGACTAATAAGTTCACATTTCAATACGAGTACCGGAGAAATTAGAAAGTACAGTAGGTAGTTGAATAAGGCAAGCTACAAGACTGAACACTGGACATTAATGTATAACACATAATTAAATATGAATACTGCTACAAGACAAATACTGCAACACTGACTATTCAAAGTTAAACCTGAAGCAAACCTCAAGCAACCAACAAAGAAAGAAACTGGGAAAAATACACCATACAAAACTAGGGATAAAAAATTAAAGAAGTGATGAGAAAAAGACAATTCAGTGACAGGAAAGAGTGGCAGTGTGGCAGACTGTCTTGTTGTAATAAAGTGTAAATATCATCACAGAAGAACAGCATCCCATTTACTAACCACTTCTCCAGTTATACTTCTATGGACAACCAAAACTAACATATTTACTCCTGGAATAAAACCTTCATAAATACCTGGAAATCTTCATCTTCTGAAGATGGGGAATTAAAGAGCTTTGCCTTGAGACACTCGTAGTGGATGCGCTGCCTACACTTGGAAGAGCGGTTGACGAAAATCTCAATCTGCTCCATGCCAGAATCGTAGATTATATTTTGTACATACGATCCTCTCCTCTCAAACCCATCCACAGTGGTCATCTTCTCATGTTTGTGGCTCAGGGAAGACAACACTTTACCATCATCTGAGGAGGAGATATTTAATATTTACTGAAGTAGGGATCACCAGGTAGTCAATAAAGTTTAAGAATTTTCAGTGCTTGGAATATTAAAAGTTTTGACACTAAAAATACACAACAGCTAAAAATGGAGGACTGATCCACATATTCCCACTTTAACAGATCAACAATAAACCTTTAGCAAGTCACAATGTGCTGAAATCATCTCCATACCCGATTTACGGTTATTTTCCACATTAGAGTTAATTAATAAGCTTTGAAATAATCTAATTCACACAGAATATTTAAAACACCAATTACGTTGAGCTTGTAAATTTTAAATCGCCCTACACACATTTTCTCAGTAGTATAAACTAATCTTCACACTTTAAGCATGTTAATTTTTGGCTTCCAAAGAAAAGGCATATTATTGTGAAATGACGACTGAACTTTTACCCAAAGATTTCGTACAAGATGACTTGTAAAATAATGGAAGTTAACAAATATGGAGCTCCACTCACTATAAAACTCGCAGGTGACAGGGAATGGCACAAGAGGCCCAGAGCCATCCACATCAATATACACCTCAGCACGTTTGGAGCCGGGGTTCTGTATACCGTAAGCAGCACATGATATTGGATTCAGGGCTGTAAATACAAACAAACAAATAATATAAATGGAGAGAGAGAGAGAGAGGGGGTGTTAGTGAATATTTAACATGCTATCTGTCTATGGAGATGTTACCTGCACCTTCTAAACACAAATATATTTAAAATTCACATATTTCATCAATGTAATATCATATACCATTTTTATTTTAAACTAACTTAACACTTAAAATTTCCCTGGAGAAAATATCCAAGACATTTACCACAAAAAGCAATAAGAGAAATTGTAATAGCAGTAGTAATATTGTAGCATTAATAACTACAGTATAGTAATACAGTAATATGTGAACAAAGACTTACAGGTGTGACAGACAGCCCCTGAGTAGCCAGTGCCGGTACAATCACAAAAGAATTCGTGAGAGTTTTGCTTGCAGCGTCCATGATGCTCACAGGGATTAGGGTTACACCGGTCCATAATTTGACAGGCTGCCAACACCACACCCTTCATGTCACTGATTTCCTAAATAGAAACAAGATTTTAATGCAATGTTTAGCTCAAGATCCTCTTTATAATGTTTGTTGAGCTACATCTTATGCAAGCCAAAAAAGTACAGTAGAGTATAGGCAGTCTTCAAGTTACCATTGCCCAACTTACGAACAACTGTACTTGTGAATGGGATCCCAATATATTCATCAAAAACATCTGTAAATAAAAATTTTTTTACTCACCTTATATACAGTAGTTTAACATAATTTTATTTACAGTACAGGGCCCCCCCCCCCCCAAAATGCACGGGGGTTAGGTTCTCAAAATCGCTGTGAATAACATTTCCGGACCCTGAGGGGGGTGGGGTTACACTTTTACTTGTATACAAAGAAATTTATATTCTCTTTATGTGTTTGCCCTTAGGACAATTATTTCTTTTACCTGTAGTATTGTATATGCGCGCGCGCACGCACGCACGCACGCACACACACACACACACACACACACACACACACACTGCTCTTACACTGTCACTATGTTGAAATGCACTGTAGTTTGAGCTTTTCCCCATCTAGTTATTATACCATATCACGGCCTATAAGGCGGCGGGGTGCATAAGACGCCCCCCCCAAATTTCCATTTAAAAAGTAGCTTTTGAGCTCTATTTGCTGTATAAGACCAGTACCCCAAATGTGACACTTACCCACTGACTCAGTAGTCCTTTACCAACCATCCTTGATTTTTTAAAATAAGGCCAATTCACTTCAAGTAATGTCATCAAATTATACTCGCTGGTGTAGTGTAAACACTAGTGACGTCACTGAAGCGTGGTGGGAGTGTTCCCTCGTCTGGGTGGTGTGACTATTTATACAACATGTGGTTAACAGCAACCACCGTATTCTAATTGTGATGTTTCATTAGGATTTGAGTGAAAAAGGTTACCAGTATGTACTTACTACATACATTTATTACACAAATATATATATATATATATATATATATATATATATATATATATATATATATATATATATATATATATATATATATATATATATATATATATATATATATATATATATATATATATATATATATACTGAATATACTATGTACAAAAAATGAATGTTCAATGAATTATTTATGGTGCATTAGGGTACTAGCCACTTCTGATGGGCTATAAATAGCCTTCTTTATCTCCCCTACATCTCACCCTGAGCCAGACGGAAGGGTCTTGGTAAATAACATGTTTGCTTATTTTCCATTTACTTTAAATAATTTACCGAATTATTTGTTTTATTTATTTATTTATAATATACTGTAATATATTAAACACACTGTAATTATTTTCTTTAATTTATAAACTGTTTTGCGACAAAGGAATGTTCTCCAGTAGTGTTTCATTAGGATTTGAGTGAAAAAATATTACGTACTTACACAATTGTTCCTCTTACTTTGACAACACAACATACATACAGTATATTATTTCTCAGTTTTGATCTTTTTTTTTAATTTTTGTATTTATTTATAGTTAGTTACTTAAAATAAGGCCAATTCACTTCAAGTAATGGCATCAAATATTACCAGCTGGTGTAGTGTAAACACTAGTGACGTCACTTGAGCGTCTGTAATTAACCGTCGATAGTTTCAAGAATTAATGCACTTTTCCTTTCTTGTCTCCTCACTGGCAAATGGGGGGGGGCGTGGGGAGGGGTGTGTGATGATAGCTGTGTTTATTACAGGGGTATAAATCTCTTTTACGGTATGTTAGACAGGTTTATAATACATTTTTATTATTTTAATATACCGGTAATCTTAATTTGAATCCAGCTTGCCAAACGTAAGTTTCAGTATAAAATAATTAGTGGTAAGACCTTGTGAGTGGCTTACGATGTTTTCATCACCACTCTTGACACACTAAACCACAATATTTAAGAGGTAAGAATTTTAAACTTGGTGGTTTAGACGACCCCCTAACTTTGGGCAGATTTTTTTAATGTTCAAATTTCGTCTTATAGGCCGTGATATACGGTATGTCTTATTGTGTCACTTATGTTACCTGTATATTATCTGTAATTCGTAACCCATTCCCCAAATATGTAACTGTATATTTTCAGCCTTCTGGCCAAGCTCTTCAATAAACCGTTAATTATTATTATTATTATTATTATTATTATTATTATTACACACACACACACAGTACAGTACAAATAAATAATAAATTGGAAAATCCTCTCACAAATAATCAGAAACAAATTTATTAAAAATGTGAGTCTACTCTCAAGACCGTGCTCTATTAATAAAGTACTGTACTGTAATAGAGCACGGGCTTGAGGGTAGACTGTCACATATTTAATAAATTTGTTTCTGATTATTTGTGAGAGGATTTTCCAATTTATTATTTATTTTATTTGTACTGTACTATGTGTTTTGTGTGTGTGTGTGTCTACACACATACACACATCCATATGTACAATACAGGTAAAGGAAATTACTGTCTCTAGAACAAATGGCTCACTGTCCCAACCACAAAAAATGCTGGCAACTTCAAAACTATCCACAGACATTCTTGGGGTACATCCAGGGTGGCACCCGCGAATAACCGAGAACCGCGAAGTAAGAACCCGCAAACTTGCCTCCCCCTCCCCCCTGTATTTACATTATTAGTTATGTATGGGACATTATTATTGTTTGGTATGGGTAGGGTTGTGTATTAACCTAACATTGGGAATTAACACAGTTCTGACTTACTAACAGATTAACTTATGAACTGAGTCCATGATCACAATCCGTTCATAACCCAGGAATCCCTTTACTGTACTGCCAAATACAAGACACAACAAATGAGCTTAAATAACTTAGGATTGTGTTTACAGCACTATGGCAATTTCATTCAAATAAAATTCAACACTTTTAAGGCTACTGTAATTATATAAACTATCTCACATACTTAAAGCCTTCCAAGTCACATAAAACAACAAAAAACTGAGATTTACACATAAGGACAAAAACACAATCACAAAGGATATTGTTTTATCTACACTCTTGCAGTATTAAAAACAAGCCACATTAAAATAAGCATCAACACATCGTACACTCACTTCAAAAAGTACACTGCGACTCCCTTTGTCTCGGTGGCGTTGTCAAAATCCTTCATCTGTTGTGTCAAACTGATTCACAGAAAATAATAAAGATACTTTTTGATGCGAGTGTACATGTTGCCTCAGAATTTTAGAGCCATCTATGTTGCTTGTACTTACTTCGTATTTGGGCCTCTGCATGAATCCAACCACAGATATCCGCCTCATGCAGCCCAAGAAGCCGCTTGTGCCGTAGACACCCCCTGTAAGAGGATAATTTACACTTCCATACGACTAAAATGTTTAAGAAAGAGATACAGACAACCTAATGTGAGTGAAACAAAACCGTTCACACTGCAAAACATAATGTTCGCCCCTCTTAACCCCACACCTCATTGTTGATAGACAATTCCAACCCTGAATACAGAAAATAAACTCGGCAAGGGCATTTGGATATAAAATCTAAATTCATGATGACGACGAAAATTACCTTGACACAAAGAGTATGCCATAAGTTCTTCAACAGTTTGTACTAATATGGCATACCTCTGATTAACATGTACCTTCACCTTTATAGATGTATTTCCCCAAATAAAGCTTAAAGTTAAAATACAGTTTTCTGGAACAAAAATCATTATCAGAAATATTCTAAAAACTTGACATTAAGGGAATAAAGAGGACCTGAGTAACTGAAATGTGATATAACTAAGATACTGAACTGCAAAAAAATATGCCATAATGACAAAATTTCACAAGACGAATAAACCTCCAAAGATTCATTTGTGTAAACAGCATAAGGAAATTAATTACCTCCTATGAGGAAATTTTTCCCAGAGGAGATGGAGATAATTCGCACTGTTTTCATGGGCACATCATCAACAGTAAGCTCCATGCTGTTCTTGGCAATGGTAAACATCACCTTATGCCAAAGACCATCACTGTACGACACATCGAAGTTGTCCAGCACTACCTTGCCTGGTGTTTGTGCTGCTGAAATATCCACTTTAACTTTCCCTTCATCTAAATAAAGCTGATAAAAAAAGAAAAGAAAAAGAATAAAGAATATAAAAGTCAGTAGCAGTTTGTTTAGTTTTGTTATATCAAAATTAAAGGAGTCTTACTTGAAATATAAACAGAATAACACAACAGACCTTGAAATACCCTGACGTGGTAAATTTATGATAAATGAGCACACCCTTCCCTTCATAGGAGCGGAACTCTAGGGAAACATTAACTGAGCGCAGATCTTCAACTGCTGGATATCGTAAATGAGCTTCTCGCTTGAGGAAGGTGAGGGTCAGATCTGATGAGTCTCCAAACTGTAATGGAGCAAATAATAACAAAGTCAATTTATCCAATGATGTAAAAATACTTCCAACAAATTAAAATTGTTTTTAGGGTCACTAAAACTCTAGAGTGTTGCTGAACAGAAGCCAAGTGAAATAGTATAGTTCATTTCAGTGGCATTACTTGAATCAATACAATGTACGGGTATACGATGAAAATGGAGAACATCTCACCGGACACGTTGGATTGGTGTTGATCATAGTGTACTTGGGTCGTTTGTAGTAGGAAGAGTAGTAGTCGTCGGCGTCTCGCATCTCGGGGATGATGGCGGTGCCGTTGATGAACAGGTTTTCCATGCAGCCAGTGAAGTTGGCCCGAGCCTTCATGCCTGGCTGTCTGTTCGGTACACCTCCAATATACACCTATTAGAAAGAAATATATGTGAAATGAACTTCCTTGGAAGATGAGGCTACTTATGAACAGAAATTATGTAAAAATGAGAATAACAGAAGATGAAAAAATAAAATGAAAGGATAATAACAGAAAGACAGGAATAAAAGAAGGAAAGATTGAAAGACAAATATCAGGATAATACTGGAAACAGAAATGAAGGATAATAATAACAAAGACAGGTAATGAAAGGATAATAACAGAAAGACAGGAATGAAAGAAGGAAAGAATAAAAGACACAATACAAAAACAAAACAATACTGTAAACACAAGTACTGTACTGTATCTTCAACCACCCCACTGTAGATCAATGCCTTACCTCTTGGTTTAGATCGAGTCTTTTGAAATCGTCGAGGATTACGTCGTCTATCCTCACACGATCCACAAGGAAAGTCACATTCCTCTGCTCTCTTCTGATTTCCACGTCGTGCCAGGCGTTGTCGTCCAGCAGTGACCCCACCGATATTGACGTCATTAACTTTGAACCTGAGGGAAACATTAAAAAGCATCTTCAGGTGAACTTTTTAATCTTATTTCCAAACCAAAAGCTTTTTTTTCCCACACACACACACACACACACGACTCAATCCTTCCTGAAAATTTAAAAATAAAAATAAAAATCCATTCTTGTTTATAAAAGAAAAAACTTTCAGCAACTAATCCATATTATCTTTCAAGAAATCTCTTAACTATTCTCAATACCAGATTCTAAACAAGAGGCAAGACGTGATGATTTTAATATCTAAACTCTAGCTTACTAACCAAGGTTTAAACTAAGCACCATCCTGTTCTGCACCAGCTGTAGTGACAAGATATCTCCCTGTGTTCCACGGCCATACATGAGCATGGCATCGGGGAATGTTGTGCGGAACCTGAAGCGGATGTGGTCTCTCAGGGAGGTGATGGGAAATCGAGAAACATCCATCACGACCATAGAATTCCCTTTAAAACTGATTGATTCTGGTGCTGTCGGGAGCAAAAGAATTCCAAGTTTAAAATTAAAAACTTAAAGGACATGGCAATTTCACAAACACATTCCTGATATCTTTACAAATTAAGAGAAAACACACAAAATTAAACTGCTCAAGGCATGAGAGGATGCTTGACCAATAAATACATAAATTTCAGTAATAATGACCAAAATGCTCTTGACAAGAATCTTCTATGACTTTTAATATTGTACTGTTTCATTTCGCTTGTCAATTATGTACCAAAATATTTCATGACAAATCATATATCTTCCATAAAAGTTACCTAATTTTTTGTGAATTTCTTTGAAATAAGATCATTTAATGCTATCAGTATTATAAAGGAAAGCCTCAAAGGTTTGATGGTTAAAGCTTCTAGTGTTCTTACAAATAGGTATGTCAATAAATGTCCTTCAAATCAGTAGATGTGAACCATATTCCTGCTTGAAGGTTCAATCAGTTGATGGGTTGTAGTGTAGTTATCTTAAACTTCTCATCAGTTAGAGACTCATTTAGCTACTTTGCCAAGAATCCCAATAGAAATCCCCCTAAAATTCTGGATACAAAATAACAAGAGCCTTACCTATGAATAATGCAATAGTGAAACACATCTTGGGAGAACTATCTTATTTAGTATGTTATCTCTTGTTCCATAAGTTACACATAGCGGTCAACCTTATTTGAGTAAATCACATTCAAAGACACAATACAAAAGAACACTGAAGTTCCATTGATCTGAAACATAATAGCAGGACCAAATCCCCATTTTCCAGGCTCACCAGGGATGGGCAGGCAGTGGTGGAGGTCTCATTTGTTTGGTGTTTTCTAAGTTGTTTACCCAAAAAAGTCAAAGTTTTCAGAGTACAGTAATACTGTTTGCCTAAAACTGGAAAACTTCAGAGTTGAGAAAGAATCCTGGTTCACAACTCCAATACTGTAGTGATATGATATCTCTGTTAACCGGAACAATCGGTGCAGAGCACTTCCGGGAATGAGAGACTTCCGGGTAACGAGAACGACCCTCTCAAGCCAGAAAAAACACTCATCCTCGGAATTTCCCATTGAACAGAAAAATGTTCTCGTTAGTTCCAGAAAGTGCCCATTACATCACCTCTCAACCCCAGAAAAATATCCCCCATCCCTGGAATTTTACGGGTACTGAAAAATTTTTCTTGGAATTTCTGTAAAATGCTCCTGATTTTCATCTCTCAAACCCGGAAAAAAACTCCTCCATCCCCAGAATTTTCTGGGTATCAGGATAAATTTCACCAGAATTTTCTGGAAATTCATTCCGAAAGCCGGAATTTTCCTGATTTGGGAAGGATTTTCCGAGAAAATTTCAATTCCGGCTATCAGAGAGTTTGGGTTTGAGGGATACCGGCTAACAGAGATATTACAGTACTGTACTGTACTTTATGTCAACATCTATGCTACACAGGAGTACATTCTTTACAGCTGTTTTATGTGGTAAGTGACACAGTATAAACAAAAGTTGGAGATTAAGAATGTTAAGGTTGTGGTATAAATGCAGTAAAAGAAAGTCACAATCAACAGTTAAGGTCCAGGCACATACAGTACATTAGAGTACTTACTGTATTTGCAGCCGTATAACTCCAGTCGGAGGGAGATGCGATCGCGCCATCTTGTAGGTTTGATGCGAATATAGCGAGCAATGATTGGGGTGTCAAACAAATTTGTTACTACAGTATTACCATCTGTATTACCTGGGAAAGCCTGTTGGGTGAAAACAATCTATCAATTCAATGTTTAAGTGCACAATCAGAACACTACTACTACACTTGTTTACTGGTTCAGCACAAGCAGAACAGGTGCTCTAAGCACACAGTGACACTCACTATTATACAGGGTGTCCAACAAGTCTTCAGCCTAAGGGAACTATACTGTAAATGAATATTGCACAGTCGCAGAAAAAAGTCCTACAAGTCTTCCGTCCCATCCATGAACCTGTGAATCCTAGACATCACATGACCCATCTATGGGTCCAACAGTGTGTATGATGTCTCGGTCTCACAGGTACATGGATGGGACAGACCACTGACAGGGCTTTTTTCTGCGACTGTACATAAAATATGCCATAACATATTGTTAGAGATATGAATGGAATGTTGTGTGTAAGTGCAGTATGTACTGTACAGGTGTTTTGTAGATACTGTACACATAACACACCATTCATTTTGTGACAATACAACTACCTACTCGATATAATGGACTACTCTCCCTTACAGCCAATTAAAAAAAGATCTCACTGTATTGAATGGTTTATCTTCCACTAAGTACAGACTACTCCGACAACCCACATATAAACAGTTATTCTTATGAAGTCTCTTTCTAAATTGGTGCAGCTGATTTTAGTTAACATACCATAGTCTGTAAATAAACCAATATAAACCCCTTTGTGGAATAAAGTTCTGAAGTCAATAAATAAAACTACAGATGTAACCCATGGGATTCTATGCTTACATTTCAGTAAATAATCCAGAGGTAAATGTCATGTTGCAATCTCTACAAATCACAAACATTTAAACAAGCTTAAAGAAACATCAGATGGAAAATTCAATAGTACATAAATCATACTGTCAATAATCTTCTAAGTAACAAATAAGGTCTAGTCTATTTCAACAGACTCCGCTAGATATCCTCAATACAGATGCAAATGATCCAAGGTTTTAAAGATCTAAAAAATTAACTTACCATGCAACACATAAGTGCACCTGTGCTTTAAAAAGGAACAAAAGATATTATTACAGATACAAGTAGCCCAGGATTCTTTTATTGAAACACTAACAAGATTTTACCATAAAAAAATTCACACATAGAGGTACTGAGACAAAAAACCTATTAACTCTACACAAAGAAATGGGACAACTATAGTACCACACATAAAAATACTGCAAGTTCCCAATACTCATCACAGTTGACATGCCTTCAAAGAAAGAAAGAAAGAAAAAAGATATTCTATGAAAATATCTAGAGTACTGTACTGGTATCCTGAACTTGGGAAACTGACAAAACAAAGAAATATTTATGTTTGTTGGGTATAAAATATAAAAAGGGTGGGGAGGAGGTGAGGGGGGAGCAGGGGGTGTTGGACCATACAGAAAAAATATTGTACACCTGAACAAACTAAATAAGAAATTAACAAAACATTCAAACATTCACATTTTGGCCTTGAGGAATCAACATTCCTACAGTAACACAACGGCCAGATAAAAAGGCTTTCTCGGTGTTACAATACCTACGGTAGCCAAATCAAAGGGGTAACATCAAGCAGAAAACAACAATCTCAAATCAAATAAAAAGGCTTATTAAAAAGACATTCTCACTAACACATGGACATCAAGTTATTTGCAAATTCAACAAATCTTAAACTTAGTAGCCGAATCACAAAAGCATTCATAGAACCGAACAAAATCAAAATGGGTGACAACATAAATAACATCGATTCTAAACAACTGGAGGGTGGTAGGAGACCATAGTAGCAGCAGCAGCATTCACAGTACAGCAGGGTGACAGAGAGATGGCATAAACCACCAGACTTAAAAATCAACTACCTTTGCTTCTCCTCCGGGCCCCTTGTACGTCCTCCAAACATCCCCGTCATCAGAGTACTGAATCATGAACTCTGTGATATACTCCCTTGTATTCTGTTTGCCTTGAATGGCTATGCGAGACACACTATGCGTGTCAGGTAACTGCACCGTGAGAAACTGATAGTAGGTGTTCTGGGCGGCAGACCAAGCAAAATCCTCTGGAAAAGTATGTATCAAAGGATAAAGAAAAAGTTGAACAAGATATAAGAGAAGACCATTATTACATGGAATAAGAGAAAGCAAGAAAAGTGTAAGATATATCAAGAGTTAAAATTCATTTTATATATGCCAAATGGCTTTACCTACCCATGGAAAAAACTGCCATAAAATATTCAAGGAATCATTTATATCTATAAAAGTTCACTCCATTAGCCTTTGTCTACCGAAAATTAAACTGCCAGATATTCATTACCCCGGTAAGCCCTCAGTACCTTTATTTTACCTTTCTGTATATTTTTTTATAGTTCATTCCCTTATCTCCATTTACTTAGAACATTAACTGATCAACTGTTGCAGCTACACTCTTCAACCCATCAAGCATGTTTAGTGTCCTCTTATTTACTTTGTTTCACCATACTAGTACTGTACAGCATCTTTTTATCTGAATCACTTAAAGATCAGACACCACCAGATTAATAAATATCCTAATGCCAACCTAACCTAACCTAACCTTACCTACCCTAACCCCTAAGTAACATCAGGGTAGTTAATCTTCAGGTGTAATAAGTTAGGGTGTCTAATCTTCAGGTCAAGTATTTGTTTAATTTGCCGAGCTGAACTCTCTTAATATTTTTTTCCCACTGCATCTGGTAGTTCTAGGAGTACTAACCCTGAGATCTTTTTTTCAAACATGTTATGTAGTTGGTCCAAGCCAATCACACCATACTGACTCATCATATATTTGTCTGGTCATTTTTATTTCTGTCTCACATTGTCTTAATATTTTAGTAAACCCTAGAAATAATTATGACTGGATTTTTATGTTTACAGGGAAAATAGTTCATTATTAATTCATACATTCTTTACCATAAGCCTCAAGTGTCTATCTATTTTCTTGATTCATTTGTTCTTGCCTATGAATGCACATTCTCAAAGGCAGTCATCACTCTTTCCATGAGTTATGCTCTTTCAATGTATACCGTATAAGCAGCGGTTTCTGCATGTTAACTACCCTAAATCAATGAGCAAGTCAAAGATATTGACAATGTCACAAATATTACTGACAAAGTTTTGACAACTGAAAAACACAAAAACATTTGGTGAAGAAATTGTCCATAAGGCTTCCTCTCCAGGAAGTGAAGTCCTTAAATACATCAAGTTATATCAAAGAAATACTGTGGTACTGTTAATACATAATCCTTTCACCTTTTCAGATATAAAAAGGTCACATCAATACACCTTGATAAAATACAGTACAGTACTATGTTGCAGCTAACACATTACACAGTACTAAATACCTTTGTACCTTTTACCCATTCATTATTGAACAGTGCTCATCATTACCATATGTGGAATTCTGTACACCAAAAGTGAGCAACATCTCCAAAGTACTGCAATAAGAATAATTTATACTGTGCAGTGTAAAATACTTATGGTCGTGGTAGTGTATTTATTCACGACTCAGACCAGGAGATGTTAAAGTGAATAAGATTACTATACATAACTACATCATAAACCATCCCGGGGATCTTCATCTGGTTTTCCAACAACACTCACCTTTTGTTATGAAGACCGGCTCATACATGATGTGCACACTACCGGTACTGGTAAAAGAAGTTGCAATATGACATGCCTCATTCCTGACTCACCCAAACACTGCCATGAAAGCCTTTAACAATGGAGAAGAGGGTCCCATCACGTCCAAACTCGATGGTGTATGCAGTTACATATTCGTTTGAATCTTCGCGGCCTTGAGTGGCAATGGCGGTTATGTTCATGGTATCACCAAGGTCCACCTCAAGGTACTGTAAGTAGTCAGCATTTTTTGCTGTCCATGCAGTAGTTTCTGTCAGGGAGAGGCAGGGTGGCTCATACTCAAAACTACAAGAACGTGCAAAATATTACTCCGTGACATTATAAATATGTACAACAAAAAATTAAGAGAATGATGACGCACTTCTATACAGACCATGCGTATACTGTACAGACATACAGGTTAGGTAAAAATTGTAAAACTACAACACAATCAAGGCAATTTGCAATACAGTACATAATAAACAAAACAAATTTATATAGAAGATATTATATCTTATCCAGTACAGTACTGTACTTGTACATTATTACTGTACAGGCGCTGTATTAATAATCTCCAACAGAACAAAATGCATAAGTCACTTATATATTGCTGGAACCAAACATGAAGCCAATTAAGTTTATATACAGTAATGTACAACACAAACCAATTTATTCTTTTACCGTATCAGGAAAAATTAAATGCTAGAATAATTTCCGTATGTGAAATGGAATTCATGTGGATCAACAATATATCATTTACCGGTACAAGATGGGCACAGAAGCTGAAGTTCTGGGGGTAAATTCTTTCTGTGGTCACTAAAGAGATTGATATACTTTACAGATGATTATGATTTAAGGGGGGGGAATGTTTTTTTATAATAAGAGTGGATTTGTACAAAGAAACTTCACTTTGTTTCAAACAACAATAATAATAATATGTTTGGGAATTTCATTTGTGGAGGATATTCTCCCTTGATTTAAAGAAGAAATTTATAAAATAATCTAGCCTTTGCAAGCTACTGTGTCCACTACAACATGCTGAATTACAAAGAAGATTCATAACTCATCTGATGTTAGGAAGGCGTTGGTAGTATGTATGTATGTATGAGTGAGTGTGTGTGTGTGTATGTATGCATGTGTGTGTGTGTGTGTGTGTGAGATAAATATGTATAAAAAAAATGCACTCAGATACCATAAAAAATATTGAATACAAAACTATATATTTTTTTTTCAACCTTATAAATGTTGCTAATTTAATCCTGGTTGTCCACAGGTTAACCTAGCCCAGAAACATTCACACACACTCAAGAAGGCTTTATAATCTTTATTCATGCAGCTACTTCTATAAGGTAACACAATCACAAAACAGAAGAGCTAGATAAGCATTTGCATTATAGGAGAAAATTAAAAGTATAATTTAGAAACCCAAATATCCAGAACTGTACCTCACACAAAAATCTGTACTATACGTATTTGTACAGTAATTAGCCCAGAACAGTATTTCCAATTCTTTATTAAACTTCAATAACAGCATGGTAGACCCTGAATCTATATGGGGAGTTAAAGTCTTGAAAATACTGTGCACATCAAATGTGTGCATAAACAAGAGGTGATGCAGTGTAAATAGCAGACTACATGATGCTGTAGACTGAATGTGCAAGTACAGTACTCATGTCGTCTTAGCAAGGTTGGAGAAGCTCAATATGATATATCCCTGGATTGTATGAACGAGTTCTGTTAACAGAGTTACATGATTGGTGGTGCGGAAACCAGATCATTTGCAAGAGTCAGAAGGGGCTGGAAGAAGTTTAGGGAGCCGTTGACTTTACTGCTAGCAAGAGGATCATTTCTTCACCTTACAGGAAATTTGTATACAACTGTTGTGAGAAGCACGACAACATGACATTGAGACGAGATGCTAAAGAGGACAACATGCAAAGGCTTGAGCAAGTTCAGATGACAATGATAAGATGGATGTGAAACTTGACGTTGAGACAGGAAATCCTGTTCAGGGCTAAGAGAGTAGCTGGATATGAAGAACACCGGTGAGGTTTTGCACTGATGTAAGCTGCGATAGTTTGGGCATGTGAAGAGAACGGAAGAGACTAATCAGGTCATGAGATGCCCAAGTTTGAAAGTGGAGGGGAAGAGAGCTAGGGTAGGCCAAGAATGATAAGGGGGTGCAAGAAATTACCTCAAAGATAAGAATCTGACAAGAGGCTGCAAGATACTATGTAACTTAAAGAGTCATCAGGTAATCATGACTAACCCTTACAACAAGCATGGTAAAAAAAAGAGGGGGGGGGGGGATGATAATGATGCACAAGAAGGGATGCAATAATAGAGGCTTTTAGAGGTAACAGGAGATATGATGTGCAGAAACCAATCCAGTAGACATAATGGTTACAGAGAGGTAAAGGCAACATTAAAACTGTTATATCAAACATGGCCATCTATCTAAGGGTAATTTAATATTGGACTGAAAATGACGTACCTTACCATTACAGGATGCAGAGATATATCGTGTAGGTCCCAAGACTAAATCACCAAAGAGATATCATGCAAAGTACGGCAATAAACATCACCCAAGAAATCCATTCATTGGTACACCTCTGCACACAAGTACTGGATAACATGATTATCAAATACTGTACTGTACTGTACAGCAACTCTTAGTAAACCAAACCACGTAGAATACTCTTCTCAAGTACATAATTATAGAAGACTCCCAACATTATGTCTTATTGATTTCAGAGAACTGACGGAGATGTATTTTCTCATAAAAATGTTATATGCACAGCCACAAACAAAGGTCTTGTTGCCTCTGCAGCTGCTCCATAATCCCCGAGATTCAGACTAATGAATCTGAAGCAGCTGAGGACAGAATACCCGGTAATATATCAGTGTCGATTGATTCGCGTTCACGAGTCTGAATCTCAACGTTCATGGAGTGTACATAAAAGTTATTTTAAAGCACAAACTTCCTCAAGTCCTTTATAAATCACCATATTGAAAATCCAACTTCATGAAATAAAATACAATAATTCTTCATAAACCAGTTCATACATAATTCAAATTTTCTTTTTACCAACACTAAAAGTCACTCGAGCAGCACTACATGATTAAGCTTGAGTTACAACATTCGCACAATTAACAGTAGCCCAGTGGCAGAATGTTTACCTAGCAAGCAAATAGTCCTAGATATGATTCCAAGCCAGAGTGAAGCACGGAGTTCCCTTATACATTCAGTAACAAATAAGTACACTACACAACCCACTTGCCAAAGATAAAACAGCCATTGAGTGGACTAACAACCTGCCAAGGGAGTGAGGTAACCCAGGAGGATATCAGTGCCAATCCAACACTTTGGGTCATAGCATGGAAAGGCTCCTAAGCATACTGTCACAAGTACTCAAACAATACACACCAATTCCTTCAGAATCATTAAATTTAATTCCCACTTATCTGATGAAGACTCTGAGTGAAGCTTGAAGAAAGGCCTGTGAGACCCATAATATTGACAATTATAAAGGTAAAATTTTTGTTCCCTTTAAAGGCTTTTTCTGTTATAATGCAGGGTGGCTAGAATCACACACACAGTCTCTCCCTTCAATCATTCTCAGCACTGTAAGAGATGTGTCCTGTCATAGTAACTGCAACATGAAGAAATTAAAAGCATTCATAAAATATCATAAATACCTGTAGTGGAGCAGCAGCTAAGAAACAGAAGTGAGAGAAAATTTAATTACAGCGTAATTTATGTACAGTGAATAAAAGTGGCTTCCCCATTGTGATGGAGTTAATTTGAGAGGTACTACCATAATGAAATAACAGATGCATTGAAGATATTAAGTACAGTATATAATATGTTACAGCATGAAGACCGAGTGGATGACAACAAATATGGGGAATGTGTGTTTGCTGTAGGTTCTAGCCCCCCCCCCCCGCCCCTTATATAGCTGGAAATGGGTCGTGAAAGACTGAAACAAAACAATAAATTAATGATAGATTCTGTGGATGGAACTTAATTCAATTACCTAATGAGATGAATATATGAAGAAATGCTTTGATAAGAGTTACAAAGACTCTGAAGGTATGAATGAGGAAGTGTAACATGATGTAAACCCCCCCCAAAAACACATAAAAAAGAAAGTCCTAGTAGTAGCTGTAGTGTCCAAGTGTGATTCTGCTACATAAAAAAAAAAAAAAGTCATATCCGATTTATATATCAGGCTTGACTTTTATTCACCTTTTCAATCACTTTCCCAAAATAATACTGCGCATAGTGGCTGGGATATAGACCCCCCCACCCTCCACCCTCCGTCCCCTCACACACACACGCAATCCCCCCACCTCCTTCATTAAATCTTACAGCTATAATAAATATGTTTTGCCACGGTACTTCCCTTCCACAACCTAACATGGCATGAATAGGGATAATATAGAAACAGAAACATTTCACACACAACATTTTATTACAACCAAACCAAATTATGAGCCTTAATACTTGTGCCTTTAGTCATTTTATCAATACACAATAATAGATTAATAGTGGAAGAGGGAGGGTTCAGACTCTCACCTGACCCACCCATGTTTATTTTATGTATTTTTCTGGATAATTAAAATTCAAGATAAAATTTTTGCTTTTGGCTTCTCTTTCCCCTAGCCAGAATATCTCAACATACATCTTACACTGTGGTCACTTCAGATTTCTTTAGTCTTATTTTAACTAAGCACAGTAATTTAATCTCCACTAAAACTTTTTATATCCTCTAATAACTGGTTTTTCCCCACAAAACACCTTTAAGGCAGTTTATAATCCTTCCTTATTAACTTCACTTTAAGATATTGTGTTACACCATTATAATAAATAGCAGAGTACACTGTATAAAAAACCTCAGTTATATCCATTCTCCTTTTAACAAATTTTTCATTTATAATATAAACTGTCAACTAAAATTCTCATAGCTAAAATCTGGCTGTGAATTCTCAAACAAAAATATGTATATCAGTCCCATAACTAGTGATGTAAGAACATGTTTACAAGCCTGACTTAAGATACGACACAAAAGATGAAATGTCAGTGAAATCGAATTGAAAATCTACCATAACTACACACTCTCGGTACTGGGTGTTATTTTTTTTTTTTAGAATTTCACACTGACTCACACCTCAACCCTACAAAAATTCTCTCGGCTGACCTCCTACATGAAATCCGGTCAATGATTCGTTTTACAGAATACACCTATTATGTTTAAGCACTTGGTACTAATCTTACAAAGGAATAATTCATCTCTTTTAATAAACTCACATCAGCTAAATTTCCCATAGTTAATATAATTCAAGTATACAGGTATGTTGTTTAGTCCCTCACTGGGGTATAAACCCTAAACCTTATGTACCCTTCATTATAGAGTTCTGAACCTGGCTCAAAGGTAAGATATGATGTATGTCTGATTTTGAAAATTATGTCTTAAAGTTTCTGTATGACACAATGTCCTCATTTACCAGGGTGTTTCATCTTTGCTCAGGAATTCTTCGGCAGCTGATTCGTCGGGTGCCGTTAAAAGTTCTCCACTAGAAATGAGGTCATCAAAACTCAAGAACTCAAAGGATATTGGCGTCCAGTCTTGAGCCACATCACGCTCGCACTTCTGAGCTACGGCAACGGAATGGCAAGGATCGAGCATGGTTTCCTCAAAGTGCCAGCTATCGTCAACTTCACCGTCGATTTTCACCTTGGTGTCTAAAGTTATCTGGTTCAGTTTTAGTTCTGGAGTTGTCACAAGGAATGATACTCGTTGTAGTTCAAATCCAATGCCAACCCCTAAGGCCTTCACCACCCCTTCCTTCAGACACCAGTGGCGATAGAATGATGTTAACTGATCTTTTTCCTCCGGGAAACTGCAAATTTGTATCCATTCTTCAGGTGTGAACTGTCGTCTCATGGTGTGAAAAAAACCTGAAACACTTTTTCCACCTATGTATTCTATTTTCATAACATCCACACCCACATTGCTTTCCATATCAGCTGCTAACACTGCCCAATCTCCTTGGTGAGACACATTGAAGTCTACACCTTTTAGATTTTCTGGTAAAGAATTCACTAGGTAGGGACGACCCTTATCTGTCCTCTCAAATGATGTGCTGGACCAAGACAGACCAAGTACGTCTGTAGCCAGTTTCCGGAGCATCAGTCTTCCAGCCATGGATGACTTTGCATCCTTCTTGAAAACAAACTTCCCAATACGTTCTTTTTCCTCAGGCTGAATAAATGACAATGCAGTCATCCAGTCACCCTTAGTAGGGGCCCAGAGTCGTGTATTGAATGCCCACCGAATACTCTCCATGTTGGACATTCACCTTATTCTTTCAATTCTGTTCACTTCAAACCTACAAGTCTAAAAAACAATAATTGTCTGTGAGGTCACGGAAAGTTGTAGTTTTAGTCTGACTACTGAATCAAAGGTTGAGATATGATGCCACAACACAGGATGCCACCACCACCCTCCTTGTTCACATCACACCTAAAAAAATAAGAGAAGGAGGTTACCACATACATTGTGGTACTATTCCTATGAAAGTTGTTTTATTTTACATCACAATGTAAAAGTGGGGATGTTGGTGGCATCCTCACCACACTGGTCTTATCCATTTCCAGTGAATTTCTCTAAAAAAAAGTTCAGAATTTACACGCTTTCTTCCAATCATAACTACATGAATTCTTTAGAAAAATTCACAATCAGCTCCAATGATTAGTTTGAATAAATTATACAGTAACAATAAAAGAAGGCAACAAAGAGACACAACTCAAAGGATCAGATCCTGACCTTTTAAGGTTGCAACAAATTGTGTACAATGATTCTGTAGGCCTATTATTATTATTACATATATCCAATAGCAGAACCCATATATTAATAGGGGTTATGTTCCAAGAAATAGACATAAATCTTTGTATATTATGAAGCTCTGCTGTGGAAAGAGAATACCAGAGCAAGACACATGCCACAGCAGGAGGAGAATTAATGACACTGACTGATGGGAGTCTGTCTCAGTGCTTCATTACTACTACCTTACATCACAGCAGGGAAAGGTTAGGTCAGGTCAAGAAGCGTGGGTTGTTAATTTTAAGGTGAAATAAGCTGGGGTGGATATTCTTCAGGTAATTCAAAGTAAAAAAAAGTCATCTAATAATTTCTCCTAGAGTGGCACTTCTTTGTTTATCTTTGTCTATCTCAAGGAAAAAGATAAATTACTGTACAGCACATCTAAGCTAAACTAACCTCTGTGACACACACAAGAATAAAATATATGGTCACTCACACACACACAAAAACACCTGTATTAATTTTTCCAATACTACAACCGGTAAGGTACAGTCTACACCATCAGGTAAACTACAAGTCCCTTAGAGGTAACTTACTATTTTTTTAACTGTAATGAACAATGTACAGTATTTACCACCCTCATCTGTCATGAAACACTGCCGACCCACCATCCAGGGAATACTAAAAGTATCTAAATATCTGGCAGGTCTTACTAATCCAACAGCAAGCAGTTGTCTACAATTTGCCATATTTTCTAAGTGACTATTTACAATATGGAAAAATACAAACTGTACTGCATATAAACCATACACATATATATCTAATATCCACACACATACTATATAACATACTGTACATCTAAATGCATAAGTAACTAATATTCAAATTTAATGTGATTCACTTAAAGTAAAATACGATGACTTAAGTTTTTAAGTACAAATCAGCCTGCTCATCTTAAAAAATAAATATACGGTATAGTACATTACAATTTAACATATTTATTTAAAAAAAAGAAAAAAAAGAAAGACATCATCCTTAACATTGTCTAAAAACGTCCTTCCACACTCTTTACAATACAGTAGTAGTACAGTATATCACCAAATTCATCATCATCTAAGATCTCAACTCTAGTTTCCATTTTACCACTTCACAAAATTCCACCGACATATTTTTCCATGGTTTCTCACCCTTTACATCCCCCCCCACCCCAAGATGATAAAGAAAAGCTCATTACCAAACTTTTTTTACTAACACAATGATAAGTCTTACCAGCTTCTGCATTCATACACAGAGAGAACAAGAGGATCTGTAATAAACATATCATGATGATTCTGTAAGATTAAATAATACAATAAGATGATTCTGTAAGATTAAATAATACAATAAAACATCATAACTGTCAAAATACTCACCATACAATCTGGCTTTATCTGCTTCCCTCGTGACAAGTTCTGAGGAGGCCGTCAGTGAGGAAGAATCCAACAGTGGATACTCGCAATAATCTGTAAAGAGGGATGCAATTAGTATACACGAGGAAATTAAGAGTACGAATTAGGGTGAGGAACACAGAAATGGATTGTCAAAATGTTTCTTTTAAGGAAAGTGGAAAGTCTAAGTTGATACTGTAATATATACGGTATGTACAGTACTGTCTCTCTCTCTTCCAAATGCTAACGTCAGGTCTTTAGCTAAATTATAAGTCATATTGTGATACTCTTTAATTAATTTTAAGCCTAAAATACAGTACAATAATATATTTTTTTTAAGTACAGGTTTACAAGCTATCGTGAAATCTGTAAAAGTAAAAAAAAAAATGGTAATCAATACACTAAACAAAATTGAAGTCTAGTAAATCTTGATATTCATGATTTGAGGACACACTTCTTAACTGTGTATCGCCATTTTGTCTTTTCCCTTGTGGGTTAAATGTAATCTTCATTTTCCTGTTTTGAAAAAGAAACAGATAAAACTTTGGTACGAAACTTCACACTGCATAGAGAAGACATGCAAAAGAAGTCAGGTAGCTAGCCTGATTTATCACAAGGGTCCTGTTCCTGAAAACTCTTGTAGTTATATGTAAATGAATCTTCCCTGGTAATACTGGATGATGGGTGCACACGTTAACAAGCAACTTGAGAATTTTTATACATATTAGGTAAGTGTTTTCTTATTAAAAACCTAAAAAAACACACTGGGAAGGAAAAAGGTTTTGTAGCATTATCTTTATAAATTTTTTCATCCCTAACACCATTCTACGTCGGCAAGGTAGACGTAATATGCATTGTTTATATCCGAGACTTTCATTTAATCCTTAAGAAAGCTTCCAAGAACTTGCCAAATACTGAAGCATATCAAGATTTATCTGTGATGAAATAAACTAACCTAACCTATCTAACCTAGGTTTGGTTAGGTTTGTTCAATTTTACTAGCCATTCGGGCAGTTGGTCCATTCTCTGTTACGAACTATTACCCAGTGTTAGTAAAGGAAGAAACAGCAGTACCCGGGAAAAAAAATAATCCTATGACATTTAGATTTGAATATTGTCCTATAACCCAAACACTCGACCAATATATCATGAAGGATCAAGACAGGATATTAAACAATAGACACCATCCTTGTTAAGTGGGGGGTACAGCATAAGGGTGTGGCTAACATAACATCCTGCATCAAGACAGAAGAGATTTTATACATTAAAAATCCTCATACAACTCAACACACTCGTCTAACATATAAAAGACCAAGTAGAGATACATAAATAATTCAACTAAACGTCAATATAACTAAAAATAGACCAAAGGATGTGGTAAAAGGTCATTTCCCTAAGAAGCAACAATAGACGTTATTTAACTTACTAACACAGCAAGATACATAACATAGAATCAATCTATATTTTGTATGATTTTCTAACCCATGATTTTTGTGTAAATATCATTCCATCTCATTTATTTATCACCCTAAAAGCTAAAATAAGTCCTGAAGCATCCTAAAGGGCGTGTTAAGAGTTATTTTTTAAACACAGAAAGTGATAAAAAATGGTATAGCTGAAGGCTTATATTCCCCTATGCAGTATTGTACTTCCATTTATAAGGAATGTATTTAAATTCCACATATTATCTCATTATTACTATTTAATATGGATCTTTGTTGATATTATTGTACTTTAAATAACATCATGATTGCCTTAGTGGTAACATATTAAGGGTGGGGTAGCTAGAGTTACCATCAACAAATTTTAACAGCTCGTTTAATAACTCTTTAACACCACATCACGTCATAAATACCTCTAATCCTCTATGAACCGGGTGACTTACTTACCTGAATAAACCCATGATGGTAGGAAAAAGAGCCAGACGAGCCTCAAATAGTGGTAATTCATGGTTTTTTTTCAGCTGGCCATGCGTACACCCCGTCACACTAGCCCTCAAACACATGACGTCACAACCGCCAAGTACTACAACCATTAATTCCTATCTTATATTAATTCTACCTTTAAATTAACTTTGTAATATCCACTGGAGTTATTTTTTAATATATTATGATTATCCAGGGGTTGTAGTGGTCATAAATAACTAGTAATTTATAGGTTTTTCGGGGAATATGAATTTATTAAATGGACTGGTTTTCTTTTATTAATTTGTTGTCCGTTTTCTGTTACTTGGTTACGGGATACTACTTGTTATCTTACCACGTCCTCTAACCTTTAATATTTTGATGTTTTAATGGAATTCTGTGTATATTCATGCATATAACAGATATATCATATAACTTCATATCAACTAGAAAAATGAGGGAACTTTCCACAGTGATAGAGCATTAAAGAATGAGCAGAAGTGCACTTAAGTACTCTCACTGAATATTGATGACTCCCGGCCAGCTTTTGTTCAGAGAGTTAAGATTACTTCTCTAGTAGTGGTGAGAGGGAACGTGAGCACCAAATGAGGGTGATTAAAATAGAATCAAATTGTTCGGTCTCACTTACAATAAGGATTTGTTTTTTCAAATTGAAGTGACTTTTTCCACTCCGTCAAAAATTTTCACAAATGTATGCCACTTTCATTTTCATATTAATATTTTGATTACACTGCTTAGATTCAATTTAATTTTTATTTTCTTATAGTTTTAGAAGAGAAACGCCGTCTAGGCAACTCAGTTTTATCTTTATTGCTGAAGAAGTGAAGAGTTCCTAATGTAACAATGACTTGAAGGTCATCCAGCGCGCACTTATGATCTGCAGAAAGACAAGTGTGGCAATAATAATAATAATAATAATAATAATAATAATAATAATAATAATAATAATAATAATAATAATAATAATAAGACTATTGGACAGACAGAAATTTCCTGATAATTACAAGTTTAATTCACCTGATGATTACACTACACAGCACTTCCTGGGTTGAGTTGGGGGGAAGGGAGGGAGGGAGAGAGAAGGCTGTGGGGGAGGGGAGGATGGATGGATAGGTGAACGGAGGGAGGGAAGGAAGAATGGGAGGGAAGGAGGAATGGGGGGAGGGATAGAGGTAAAAAGATAAGCATAGGAGGGAGAAAAAGAGGAAAGGATGAGAAGAATGAGAGGGAGGGAGGAAGGGAAGAAAGGATGGGAGGAAGGGAAGGATAGGATGGATGGAGGAAGGGGAAAGAAAGGAGCAGGGTAGAGAAGGAAGAAAATGAAGGAGAACAAATGGAAGGAGTCAAAGCAAAGATGGAGGAGAGTAGGGTAAATAAAACAAACATGTGTACAAAAACATCCACAGCCATTCACGTATACACAGCAGTCGTACACACAATCATGTTAAGGGGGAGGGGCAGTGATTTCAGAGACGAATTACAGTGCAGTGAGTGAGTGCGGAAGTGTGTGTGTGTGTGTGTGTGTGTGTGTGTGTGTGTGTGTGTGTGTGTGTGTGTGTGTGTGTATGATCATGTGAAGATTAGGCACCCTATCTTATTTCAACTAATGATTGAAGTTTAAACACCCCTAACGCTACCTTTGGGAGGGGGGGACTGGGTTAAGTGGTTAATTACGTTAGGTTAGATGAGGTTAGGTTAGGTAAGCATTGGGGATAGCTAATCTTAAGATGAAATAAGTTGGGGTGGCAAAACTTCACGTCAACCGAGAAAATTTAATTAAGGAGAAGGAGGGGGAGGAGGGGGGCGTTGATGTTGTGGCCACTATCTGAAAACATCTATAATCGTTCTACACACTCACTCACTCACGCGTCTTGTTTACACCGGTCGCCGTAGCCGCTATCATGGCCAGTCACGCGAGCTCGCTTCCTCCACACGACAACATGCAGTCCTCCTCAGTGCTGCGTGGTGTTATTGGTTCGTTTTACTCAATTTTTAGGCCAATCAGATGCCTCGTTCCACTTCTTGTTCGTTTTACTCCTTATTTAGAACAATCAGATGCCTCGTTCCACTTCATGCGTTCGTTTTACACCATTTTAGACCAATCAGATGCCTCGTTTCACTTCTTGTTCATCTTAATCAATTTTTAGGCCAATCAGATGCCTCGTTCCACTTCATGCGTTTGTTTTACACCCTTTGCAGCCAGTCAGATACCTCATTTCACTTTATGCGATCTCTTTACCCCATTATCGACCAATCAACTGTCTCGTTTCACCCAGACAGCCCCTGCATGGCTTTAATGATTTCAAGGTAACTTATCCACCTGAAAACTCACTCACACAATTCACCCAAAATGTATTATTCATTTCCAAGATAAAAACAAAACAAAAACAAAAACACTTAAGATCGAGAGGTTGGCAACACTGTCTACTGAATCCAGTCTTTCAAGTATTCAGGAATTTATTTTATTATCATTCAATGTCACGTCAGCATCGATTGGCATAAAGTCAATGGTCACGTGGAGATTAGACACACCCAATTTACTTCACCTGATGATTAACCTCCTCTCCTACCGCTTATCTGGGAGGGTTAGGTTAAGTTCGGCTATGGTTAGGTTAGGTTTGGTTAGGTTTGGTTAGGTTAGGATTGGTTAGGTTTGGTTAGGTTAGGTTAGGTTAGGTCTAAATCGACGGTAATCAAGTACACCAAAACAATTACACTCATATATACAACACAAGAACCTATTTGAGTCCAGCTTATTTCTCGCGTGTGTTGACTAAAAGGTTGACTTGTCCCTCCAGCTTCTGTTACTAATTACTTGATGTTATACTGAGGAATGTGTGTTGGAGAGTGGCGTTGGAGGGTGGTGTTGTGTGTTGGAGGGTGGTGTTGTGTGTTGGAGGGTGGTGTTGTGTGTTGGAGGGTGGTGTGTGTTGGAGGGTGGTGTGTGTTGGAGAGTGGTGTTGTGTGTTGGAGGGTGGTGTTGTGTGTGTTGGGGGCTGGTGTTAATTGTGTGTTGGAGGGTGACGTTAGTTGAGTGTGTCCGTAACTTCATTCATTTATGTAAGTGTAGGCGTGTACATGTGGGCTTGCACATACATGTGTGTGTATACCTGTACTAGTGGGCGTGTACATATGCGTGTTTGCGTGTCTCACCTGGAAGTTCCCCCAAGCAGGTGATATTAATGGCCGATGTTTAGTACCAGTGTGTGTGTGTGTGTGTGTGTGAACAGTGTACAAGTGTGTAAGCGATGCGATGAGGAGGCGGGAATCGCAGTCGTGTCTTGTCTAATTGAAAAAAATCGTCACACTGTCTCACACGGCACTACGGAGTTATTTCTACTAGTGGGAAGGGAAACGAGCTACCTAAAGCTTATCCGAATCACGTAACTTAAACCAAACGATACTTAACATGTGTTTGTTTATATTTGTTTGTTTTTGTTTTATTACTTTTAGAGGAGATTGTATTTGTTTTTGTTCTTAAGCTGTAGTAATGGATTTTTATTTATTTATTATTATCATGAATCCTCTTCTACATTACATCTTTCTGTCTTTCCCTTATGTCTATCCACGTCTTCCCCTTTTCAGTATTATTTCACTTGTTCCCACTTCACCCTCTCGGGAATTTTATAGTTACAATCAGTAGTTTTGGCAATTCTAAAATACTTTTCTTCAAGGTCATTTATGGCGCAAATTACGTTTAAGTGAGATATTATTATTTTTTTTATTATGTACTGTATGTTCGTACGTGGCGGTACACACGCAAAACATGGAACGAATGTAGAGTTTCCCAGTTAGGTTAGGTTAGGTTATTGGTTTTTCGGTGGTTTTCGATGTGTTTTAGATGGGAAGGGGAGGGAATGGGCTTATCTCAGACACTATTGATTGGCGCCAGAAATGAAGGTCAAATTCGTTCACAACACATCAAAAAAATAGTTTCAACTTCGATTTCGTTTAGTGGTAACAAGTGAAAATTTACCGGTTTTTTTCTCTCTCTCACTGTTTAACTCTCCCTTTCTCTCTCTCTCTCTTTCACTCTAGCCAACTCTCCCTTTCTGTCTAACCAACTCACCACCTTTCTCTTTATTCAACTGTCTCTTAACTCAGCATTTTTCTCTCTCTTCCCCCTTTCTCTCCAACTTTCCCTCCCTCCCTCTATCTCTCCTTCTCTCAGTTATCAGTGTAGGCCACGCCCAACGTCTAGCACCATAATCCCTGCTCTATTACTCCTGCAGCCACTTTTATGACTACCCAGCTGCCGCCCCCTCCACCTCCTCCTCCGTCTCCGTATCGCGCGCCGCCTGCCCACCATCACATTGGAACCTTCCTTAAAAACCTAGATAATAAAAACTTTTGGTAAAATCTTAAAAAATATCTTAAAACTATAAATTATAAAAAAACTTTAGGTAAAATCAAAACAAAAAATTACCTTTAAACTATAAATTATACAAACTTTAGGTAAAATCAAAACAAAAAATCACCTTAAACTATAAATTATACAAACTTTCGGTAAAATCAAAAAAATATCTTAAAACTATAAATTATAAAAAAACTTTAGGTAAAATCAAAACAAAAAATTACCTTTAAACTATAAATTATACAAACTTTAGGTAAAATCAAAACAAAAAATCACCTTAAACTATAAATTATACAAACTTTCGGTAAAATCTTTGAAAATTCCACCTTAAAAAAATATATAGATTAGCTAAATACTTAACACTTAAAAAAATAACTTAACAAAATATATACATACATTATACACACTTAAGGTAAAAAAAAAACTTACGATCTTCTTTAAATAATCCATCACTGCATCGTATCTTAAGCAAAATGAACACGTTATAACAACACCAGTTTAAAGAAAAAACTAACGTAAGATCCTTCGAGAATCCAATCTTGTATCGTAGCTTAAGAGACAACATTTTTATTTTTCTCTCGTATCTTCCATTAAAGAGACAGATTCCCTTTTGAAAATTCGTGTTTCTGTTCCATTACCCGTATGAGGTGACCTTTCTCTTATTTCCTCTTCCATTTACCCTTCCATGAACTTGACTACGGTCTTTCCCATGACTGTTAACTCTATCACCAGCATATATATATATTTTAATTATATCATTGTGTTATTATTGCTGTTATTGCTGTTGTTATTGTTTTTGTTGTTGTTGGCATTATTATTATTATTATTATTATTATTATTATTATTATTATTATTATTATTATTATTATTATTATTATTATTATTATTATTTTGACGGATCTTTCTGTATTTCCCCTTTAAATCAGCCAGGCAGGTGTACGTTCTCAACTCAAGTCTTTAATTACGAGGAAAATATTGTATGTACGAACCTTTGATAATCTAAACCCGAACCAATTATGATAAGGCACTCATCTTACCTCTAGAGCCCATAATAGCGTACCAGTTAAAAGACCTCCTACGTCCCATTTAAATAGACCCCTCTACCATCACGTTTAAAAGACCCTCTCACGTCCCATTTAAAAGTACCCCCCAGGTCCCCTTTAAAAGCGACAGAAAATAATGAGAAATCCCACTAAAAATATATATATCATGGCGTGTCGATAATCTATTTCCCGATAAGACATAAACACGTGTTGCCTCACCGACCCACCCAAGCTTCGATTATCCGAGTCCGTCGTGTTGTAATCGGGTCGTGTACTGTGTAATGATGTTGATCAAAGAGTACACCTTGAGAGAGAGAGAGAGAGAGAGAGAGATTGTTTTAAATAATAACAACAAGAGTAACAGGAACAATAACAACTGTTGCTTCCTCCTCCTGAACACTCAACATAAACGTTCAGATTCTTTACATGTAAATTCCCGTCCCCCCTGGTGAGTGAGGCAGGAAACTCACATCAAACCATGAGGAAGAACAAGGGAAACCGGGCCCGGGGACTTGCCACTCGACGTGCTCAATTAGTGTTCTGTTTACCTCTGTGAAGTACCGACGGCCACCACGCGTTCACAAGTCTCACTCCTCTTCTGGTCTTCCACCTGTGAACACCCGGGTGAAAGCTCGTAAATCCGTCGGTCTCGTCACAGAAAAAGGAAGAATGGTAGGAAATGGAGAAATCAAACAGGCAAAGGATGTAAAATTGTCGAAGCGAGGTCATGAATAAACAAAAGGTGGGGGAGGAGGGGAAGTGGGGGTGAACGAAAACCTAAGATACGAAACGAAAGGGGGAGCAAAACGCCAGCGAGACTCAGGTTCGAGTTCCCTGTTATGTTTAACTTTATCCAGTTCTGCAGTTATTCTGAGTTTCTTTCATAATACTTCGCCCGGTGCTGCCTGACAGGTGACACCCGCTTCACACACCCACGACTTGGAGTGAGGGGAGCCAGCGAGGGGATAGGATTAAACACACCATTAGGGAAAAAAATATGGTGTTGGATTTTTTCCGGGTAGTTTAGGACGGTGAACGAAGGTGAGGGGAAATATTTCGGTGGGTGGTGTGTGGCGGGGGGCGGGGTGAGGGGTGGGGAGGAGCGATGGGTGGGTTGGGCGGGTCGGGCTGGACAGCAGTAAGCCTCCAGCCGTCTACCTGGTTGGAACACACTGCTCCGCGTCCCTGTGTCGAATCCGCCGCTCACACACACACACCCGCCTCGCCTTGCCACCACCTACCCAAGCTCCTAGCCCCGTCATCCCTCCCGTCAGCCACCCACAGTCTACCTATTCACCTATCCAGCTCCTCTCCACCCACTGTTTCTACACCACAATCACCCACCGCCTGATTTTTGCTGACACTGTTAACTAGTCCAACTGTTCATTATCTTTAAGGCGTTCACACCTCGACACGCGCCTGGTGTGTGTATCCTTCGCCCCCTCCCCCGACCCCACAGAGGACCCAGGCCACATCTTCGCCCCGAGGAAAGAGGACTATGCTTGAGACCAACCTCCTGTACCTGGCTAATTAACCTTCTGGGTGGTGGAGCCTTCAGGAGGGATGACTGACATGGGTGGCCAACCATCCCCTGAGTAACGCTCCCAGGTGGGTCGTCGTCACGTTACTACTGTTGTTACATCATCGTCGTCGGGTCCTCGTCATTCGTCGCCTTCAGAAGTCTTGCCAGAGCTCACCATTGTGTGTGTGTGCCCTCCCGACAATCCGCTTTGTTGCTCTCAATCCCCGGGTGCCGCTCTTTTTCAGTATGAAGTCGCACCTAAAATATGACTTCCTGGATTCATAACAAGATCCTTTTAGGACACTTTTAACTTCACTGTTATATAAAGAGCAGGTATTGTTTATATAGTTTACTGTACGAGTGTTGGTGTACGACAGAGAACACTTCCCAAGTTGTCACTGGACAGAAGCAGATACTCTGGTCAACAAGCAACTTGATTACGACTCTGACTTGGTATCAATCGGATGACATATTAAGAAAAATTAGTCCTACGACTCGATGCATATTCTTGGGGAGGAGGAAAGATCCATTAAGACAACGAGGATTCTTCTACCAGACGAACACTGATTTAAGAACTGGCAACAGAAATTTCAAGAAAGAGTAAATAGTCACTGTGAGGGAGGTGAGGGAGGCGTCCTTGTGCTGTGTGTAGGAAGGAACACGACTGGGGCAGGTGTAGTGGTCATAAGGGGCTCGCTCACCTGTTCCCCGCTGGACCATCTTCTCGTGAGGGGTGCGGCCCGGCGTGGCCCAGACTGGAACAGAGGTGGGCGGAGGTACGGGCGGCAACCATGGTGGGTGCACCAGCCCTGTGGCACGGGTTTGGGCGTGGGCGTGGGGGAGGATGAGGCGCCGGGAGTTTCAAGAGGTGGCGCTTTCTCTTACGGCGCCCGGCACCGTCCTAGGAGACGACTCGCGGGAACCCAACCAAAGCTCTCCCCCAGCAGCAGCAGCCTTCACCATAAGGAGGCAGTCCTCCGTCGAGAAACAGCAGCAGGGACAACGAAGATCAACAGTACAGCGACAACAGATATTAACGAATAGCAGACACAGTCTGCAGACATTATCGAGATCGTCGACGGCGTCAACAATACGGGATTCAGACACAGACACCGCTGACTACGAGTCCACCCCCGTCAACGACCTCTCGGCCTCCACGCGGCCCAAACACCGCTCTGCCTCCTCTTCCCTGGCCAGAAACAGCGGGTCACCCGTGGCTACCACCAGGCCATCTGTGGCCGGGAAAACCGACCCCCCGGCGTCCAAAAGCGGTCGGCCTCTGATCAAAAGTGAAAAGTCTCTCCTGGGTCGAATCGTGTCATCGAGGTCCCGGAAGACCAATCCTGGAAACGAAATGGATACCAAAGGCCCCACGCCGCCCCCGTCCACCACTACCGTCCATCACCCCGTCCACGCCGCCCAGCGCCACCCACACATGGAGGACAAGTGCTTGGATGAGCGGGTCGACGGGTGGATCCTCGCCCTGAAGACTGCCTTAGACTACGACGCCCAGGACCGACACGAGGAAGCTCTCGACGCTTATAATAGGTGAGACTCCTGACACAGGGTGCCCCTCAACCTGGGGGTGTTGTTGCTGACCTCATCTCTCTATAGTACAGACACTCATACACACACTGTATACACAAACACACCCCTACATAAAAACTTACACATACATACACAAACGTATACACTCATACAGAAGTACACACATAAACCTCTGACGTACACACGCCACCAAATAATGCAATGCAAGAAGATATTTTACCAAGACCATCTACAACGTAACTTAGTTCAGGGCAGTGTAGGCTACGTAAGGTTACTGCAGGCTAGAGCAGGCTAGGTTAGGGTATTGCAGGCTAGAGCAGGCTAGACTAGGGTACTGCAGGCTAGAGCAGGTTAGATTAGGGTACAGCAGACTTGAGCAGGATAGTTTAGGGTACTGCAGGCTAGGTTTGGGTACTGCAGGCTACGTTAGGGTACTGCATGCTAAAATAGGCCACACCAGCTAAGGTTATTATCCCCCGAAATACTACCCCCCTCCCCTACCCTAAAATAACTCACCCCCTCCCCTACCCTAAAATACCTCACCCCTTCCCCCTACCCTAAAATACCTCACAATCTCCTCCCTAAAATACCTCACCCTCCCTTCCCAAAATACCTCACCTCCCCTAAAATACCTCACCCTCCCCACCCTAAAATACATCACCCCCTCCTAAAATACATCACCTCCTGTAATCTTTAAAATACCTCCTCCTCCCTAAAATGTTCTGCCCACCCTCCCTAAAATACCTCCCTAAAACAATTTCACCCTCCCTACCTTAAATAATTCTCCTCCTCCCTAAAAGTCATCACCCTCCCTAAACACCTCCCACCCAAAAATACTTCCCACCCTCCCTCCTAAAATACTCACCCCTTCCCCTTCCCTAAAATACAACAATTCTCCCCAATCTCTAAAATACCTCACCCCTCCCCAAAATACCCCAAACCTCCCCAAAACACCTCACCTCCCACCCAAAAATACCTCCCCAAAACAGCACCACCCTCCTGCAAAATAACTCCCCACCCCTAGTAAAATACCCACCCTCCCCCAAAACACCCTCACCATCCTAAAATACCCAACCTCCCCACCCTAAAATACCTCAACCTCCTCCCAAAATACCTCCTCAACCTCCTACCCCCTTCCCCTCCCTAAAATACCCCCTCCCCTACCCTAAAATACATCACCCCTTCCCCCTCCCCTAAAATACCTCACCACCCTCCCCAAAATACCACGCTACCCCTCCCCTCCTTCTGTGTTTATCCCTCAACCCACTATAGCTCTAATACCTGTGATTACGTAAACATATTCATTAATTTTACCCACCTGAGGAGAGCTAGTTACCGTGTTGTTAATCGCTCTTACACCATCGCTTCTCATTTCACGATCTACTTCATCTTTTTTGGGGGGATTTTCAATTATGATTTTTTTTAATTAATCTGTGCAGGTAAAGGTGTTTAAAAGAGTTTGTGATGGATAATGATGTTGGCAAAAAAATGTATGTTCATGGTTATAGTTATTTTTTTATCGTTTATCTACTTATGTATGTATGTATGTATGTATGCATGTATGTATGTATGTATGTATGTATGTATGTATGTACCAAATGAAATAAATCCAATTATAATGGCTGAAAAAACACAATCTCATTAAAAATTATACCTATTAAATTACTCATTAACTTAAAACCTCAATTACATTATTTTAAAAAAAAATCGAGGAACGTAATGGCTTAGTTACTAGTGACGTCACCAAAATAAACAAACATTTTCCCGCGCGGCGTCATAAAAAAACTTTTCTTTCCTCAGTCAATCCCATAAAGGCGACGCTCAGGAGAACTCTTATTTACATTCCTAGGTTTATAGAGGATTAGCGCCAGTTCCTGATGATATTGGAATCGATCAGAGAGAGAGAGAGAGAGAGAGAGACGGGCGGGTTGGGCTGTAAGGTTGGCAAAAGTTGAGTTCCCCAGTTGCAAACACACTGCATGGCGCGTCTCATTTTAATCTTCTAATAGCATAGTAATATCGAGCGAGGGGATAGAGTAGTCCCTGAGGTAATAGGAAAACAAGACGGAGAGGCAGTCGGCAGTCACTCTAATGAATAAAAGCGTTAGTGCGTGAAATTCTTTTATGGCGGGCAAAGAAACGAGTTGGTGGCTAGGCTAAGATTGGCTAGGATACGTCAATAGGCTAGGCTGGCATTTTCCAATCCTCTACGGCTACCTATTTAGAGCTACTATTTAAAGCCACTGGACAAAATATGGGACAAAATTCCACTGGACAAAATACAATACAAAATCACAATCGACAACAAACCATTAGATATAGCCTATACCGCTATACCACATCACAGGGAGGTTAGATTAAATTAGGAAACGTAAGATTAGATTAAGGTTTAGGAAGGTTATAATAAATTACAGTTTAATCCAATTATATCCTATACACAGGTTAGGTAAAGTTATACTAAGGTAGAGAATTATAGCTTAAGAGTCACATAGTTATATTAGGTAAGATTATATTAAACTTAGAATTTTCCTGTATACTAGAAATATAAGGTGATAAGTATATAATGTAATGTTAGAAAAAATATACTTGGTAACCCTGCCCCGAGTGTGAATGAACTCTGTGGGGTTATATAATTAAGCGTTGATATGCGGTTATGCCTCGCCTCCCCCCTCGCCCCCACCTCGCCCCTCGCCCCCACCTCCCCATTTTTGGCGGGAACACAGTCATTTGTTTGGTGTTGTTTACGGCCGGGCGAGCTAAGTGGCGAGCGGCGACCACAAGCTGGGAGGGCGAACAACAAAAAAAAAAAAAAGAGATGGATATTTTTATTATTTTTCTCTGCTTTTACTTATTTTTACCTCTTCTTTCTTTCTTTCTTCCTCCTCCTCAAAACCCCAATCTCCTTCCCCAATTTCGTCAGATTCTCAAAGACTCGTACGATAATTTCCCCCTTGTAATTAAGATAAGACTAACACTATCCGACTGACTTATAATTAACACCGAAACTTACGACAAAAAAAATGGACTCATAACTATACAGAGACAATAACTAGATACGCTTAGCACCAGTTACAAGAGACGTATATGAAGTGATATTACCTTAACTATATACCTTTAATTAGCACTAGTTAAAGGGGACAATGTTAGCAGGTAGAATTTTTGTGAATTAAGAACAGAAACATTGGACAATTTCACGCTCTGGGTAGGACACAAACACACAGAAGGAAACAAGCAGACAAAGACAGACAGACAGACAGACAGACACTCCACCAACCACAAGTAGAGGATGCCGCTAACAGAAGAGTACTTGGGGAGATAACTGTAAGTATCTCCCAACACACTGCGAGGGATAATGTGTGTGTGTGTGTGTGTGTGTGTACCTAACAATCACCACCAGCACCACTGCCTTCTAGATAACTCACTTACCAGCTAACGATTCTCTCTCTCTCACTAACAACCACCACCACCATCTCAAGGGATAATTCGGTTCCCAATATTGTTCAAGTCGGCAGAGCCCAACCCACCTCATCCAGCCCACCCCAACCCACCCCTTACCCCAACCCACCCCAACCATTGCTGACTCATTACTGGAACGAAACTACGAACTTAAAACTGTAATTGAATCTGAAACTGAAGCTGAACTTTTAAGAACTGAAACCCCTTCAAATTCACGACTGAGACTTGAAATGAAACAGAAATTGGAATAGAATGGTTGTTGTGGTGGCGTAGGTGATGGTGGTATAGTGGTTTGTATCTGGTGGTGATGGTGGTATAGTGGTTTGTATCTGGTGGTGGTGGTGGTGGTGGTGGTGGTGGTGGTGGTGGTGGTGGAAGTGGTGGAAGTGGTGGTGGTGGTGGTGATGGTGGTGGTAGTGAATGGTAGTGTGTAGTAGGTGGTGGTGGTGGTGGTAGTAGTGTGTGTGTGGTGGTGGTGGTAGTAGTGGTGGTGGCAGTAGTGTGAGCGTCACAGTGATGGAAGACGCAGTAGTAGTAGTAGTAGTAGTAGTGGCGCTTTCTGGTAGTACAGGGGTGGGGAAGCCAGCTCATAGGAAGAGTGGTATCTCATGGAGGGAGGGGGCTCATGAAAGGGGGAGGGTGGAAGATATTTAATTCCAGCAAATCTCCTAAGTCTCTTAAGCTGAATAAGTCTACAAGTTGGTGGTGGAGGAGAGGGGCAGGTGAGAGGGCAGGTGAAGGGGAGAGGGAGAAGAGGGGGTGAAATGAGAAGGAGGAGAAAAAAAAGAGTCGAAATCCCAACTGGTTATTAGCCAGGATTGGGAGGGGCTAGAAGGAGGGAGGAGGAGGAGGGAAGGAGGAGAATCAAGAGAAGGGAGGAGGAGGAAGATATAACCCTCCATTTCCTACAGTCCAGTTCCACAACCTCTCCTTGCCCCCCCCTGCTCAGCCAACACCACCCCCCCTCCCTTCTCCCTCTGTCTCTCCTCTCTCTCACTTTACTTTAAAATATTTCTCTCTTTCTGTTTCACTATCTCTCTTTTCCTCTTCCTTCCCTTTCACTATATTTGTTTCCCCTTCTGTCTCCTCTTTATCTCTCTATCTCTCTCCTCCTTCCTTGTTTCATTGTCTTTATTGCTCTCTCCTTCTCTGTCTCCTCTTTATCTCTCTCTCCTCCCTTGTTTCACTGTCTCTCTCTCTCTCATCAATCTCTTCTCTTTCTTACTATTCATTATCTCTCTCTCTCCCTCTCCCCATTATCAAGTTGCTTCCCACTTCCTACACAACGGTTTAATTGCCTCCTAATTAGCATTTATATAAACTAATTCCCCACACAGAAGGCCCAACTAATTAAATTAATTAAACAAAACACTAAAAATCCATTTACTGCCTTTATATATATTTTAATTTGTCTTGGGATTAATTAATTCATCTCTCAATTATGTATTAATTATTATTATTAGTCGGTATCAATCAAATGTGGTGTTGATAATAATAATAATAATAATAATAATAATAATAATAATAATAAATTGAAGAACAAG